GTTGTCACTCAAGCTCGCTGCAGCTCCTATGAAAAGCGCTAGTACGCTCCTCGTAGTAGTTTGCTTCGTTGTCACTCAAGCTCGCTGCAGCTCCTATGAAAAGCGCTAGTACGCTCCTCGTAGTAGTTTGCTTCGTTGTCACTCAAGCTCGCTGCAGCTCCTATGAAAAGCGCTAGTACGCTCCTCGTAGTAGTTCGCTAAGCTGCTCGCTCAAGTAAAGCTGCTAAGCTCACTACTCTCCGCTAAAGGGCGAAATCAGCAACCTTGCATCTTCTCTTATACTCGTACATTTGAGCCACGACTTGCTAGCAATCCGCGACACCCTTGACGCGAGAGGCGATCGAAACTACAATCGTGGATCTACCGTGTCGGTGTTGGCGCACGTTGATACGAAACTAGTGCTTATCTGGCAGGCAATTAGCGCACGGCGCAGAGTGGAATCTTCCTTGCAACGGCGCGGCTTGAGCTTTGTGTTGAGCACCAGTGGACAGCACGGTGCCGTCATCAGTTTCTACCTCCTGCTACACGAACAACAGATTTGCGAACCCCCTTCCCCCGACGTGCATTTTCGCCTCCCCCCATCAACCCAAATTCCCGCCACTTTGCCAACCTCACATCCGCGCTTGTGCTTCTCCCCAACCACTTTTTGTGACCTTCCTCGCTACACCAACTTCTTCCTTGAAACAAAGACTACACTTTCCACCTCATTTCTTATGCTTCCTTTACCTCCAACATCATTTTGCATGCCACCAGCCCAATACCTTACAGAATGACAGGCCGCAAAAGGGGCCGTGGTGCCCAAGACTCTGAACCCACTTCTCCTCGTCCGCCTGCCCGTTCGCGACAAACTCCAGCCTTCGCGATTCTTTCGACCTCCTCATCAGACCTTGCACCACCCCCTACTCCTAAGCCTCAATCATCTTCTGCTCCCTCCCAGCAACCTCAGCCAACAACAGCGCCAAAAATTGTCTCGGACAAACAAAAGGAGATTCTCCAGCAGGTCCTTAAAGCCACCCTTCCTGATTCTCCGTCTCCATCACGGCCTCAAACCTCTCACCCTCAGCTCTCGACTTCCCGTGCCCATCCTTCATCTGCCTCAACACCTCCATCGACGACTACAGCAGATGCTCCTAATCCCACAGCCCCTGCCGACAACACGCACCCACTATCACACTATGAAACTGTTGCTTCACCTTCTCGAGATCCCCCTCCTCCTTCCCCTACCCCTCACTCTACGCAGCCATGCCCGCAACCCTGCCCGCCCTCATCAACCTCCGATAACCCACTACCTCCTAATTCTTGCCCCACATGTCGACGCACCTTTGCCAACTCAGGTTCGTTGGCCCGTCACCTTCCAGCCTGCTCTCGCAACACCGCCACACGTCAGCAAGCTGCTCGCCCTCCTCCTCCCCGCTCATCAGCCCCAACCTCGGCGCCTGCAGCCGCAGATCGACCTGCAATTCCTCAAGCCACTTGGGAGGCCGTTCCTTCCTGGGATTGGCCTTCCTTCTTCAGCCCGGCAGTCTCACCTGGCCCTATTCTCCGCCGAATCCCCTCCCGCATCCGACTCCTCATTCTCGATGCACTTCTCATTCCACTGCGCCGCCTTGCACAACATCCTTCTGACGTCGCTGCACACCTCATTCTCTTGGCATTTCCGCGTCTCCTACTGCGCCTACCTTCTGCCGCTGCTCCCACACAGCCCCTTACCTCTTCATGTGCTGCCTTAGCGCGCCGCTTCATCACTGGTGACTGGCACTCTCTTTTCAGCGAAGCCGTAGCTGCAGCCACTCCAGCCGCTAGACCTCTGCACATGGCTTCAGCACGTTCTACAGCGCAGCAGGCTCGTCTCAACCGTGCGAAGCGGTTTGCAAAATGCGGGGATTGGTCGCGGTCACTGGCAGCACTGGAAGCTGGCGAGCTAGCTCCTCCATCATCAGAAACAGTTGTTGCCCTCAGCTCCAAGCACCCACCTGCTGCAGCAGAGATTCCTGACTGGGTACACACCTTCACTCCTGCAGCCGCACCACAGCTTACCGTCCCTGTTCTCCATGCCGCTCTACAGTCCGCCCCCCGTGGCACAGCTGCTGGACCTTCTGGGTGGTTCATTGAGCACCTCAGGGACACGTTTCTTTCTCACCAGCAGCATCTCCCTTCTCTCCTCCACGTATTCCAGAACTGGCTGCAGGGTGACCTTCCGCCCGCAGTCAGGCCTTTCTACACCGCTTCGAACCTCGTGGCCCTGCAGAAACCGCATGGTGGTGTACGTCCCATCGCCATTGGGGAAGTGCTACCACGCCTCCTTTCACGCTGCATCACTCTCCTTTTTAAGCAGCAGATGCGAGAGACATTCCTTCCTCACCTTCAATTTGGCGTAGCAGTTCCGGCCGGGATCGAGATTATGTCGCACGCAGTGTGCTCCGCCTTCTCCCTTCATCCAGACTGGGTGGTGCTTCAGCTGGACGTTGCAAACGCGTTCAACTCGTTCAACCGGGTTTCCATGTTTGAGTCATTAAGGCGCTCCCCATTCTCCAGTCTCATTCCCTTCTTCCGCCTATTCTACTCCACCCCTTCACCTCTCCACTACCGCAGCGGCCCCCTTCTCCACACATTCCAATCAGCTTCTGGTGTTCGTCAAGGCGACCCTTGTGGCCCTTTCCTTTATGCCCTAACACAGCAGCTAGCCATCCAACCAACCCAGCAGCAGTCTCCCTCAATTTTCATTACCTCATACGCAGACGATACCTACTTGGTCGGCCCTCCCTCAGACGTCTTTGCCGCATACACTGACCTTACCTCCCGCCTTCTCTCTCTCGGCCTTACAGTCCAACCCTCTAAGTGCTCTCTATGGGCCCCTATGGGCCTGCCCGAACACTGCATTCCGCCCCCGGGTATTTCCATCGCTGCAAATGGTCTCACTGTCGCTGGCGTTCCTACCGGCTCCGACGGTTACATCATCTCTACGGTTCGTGACAAACTCGATTCTTTCACTTCCTCCCTCCCCTTACTGCATCAACTGCAGGACCCACAGATTGCCTCACGGATCCTTTCCTTATGCATCACTGCCCGACCTTCTTTCCTCCTCCGAACTGTCGCACCTTTTCCCGAAATCCAAGAGCTACTTTCTTCATGGGACTGCACCATTTTCAGCCACTTCTCTCAGCTCCTGGGCTCTGAGTACTGGAATCCCACCTCTGAACAGTCCACATCGGCCCGCCTCCAAGCCTCGCTCCCTATCCGCTTAGGTGGCTTCGGCATTCGCAGCTCTGCATCCATCGCCCCCCTCAGTTACCTTTGTAGCTGGGCGCAGACAGTTTCGACCTTATCCACCCACTTCATCACTGATGGTGCTCCTCTTTTCCGCCCTTACGTCACCACGGACTCCATTAACCTCCTCGACCCTTCAATCTCATCCACCATGACCATGCTTCCCCAAGACATTCGTGATCGCTTCCCATCATGGCTTGTGCTTCAATCGGGCTACCCTCCTAAACTCTTTACTCATCTCTCCCAACACCTCGAAGCCGATTTGCTGGAGAAGGTTCGAGCCACAGTAACGTCCCCGCTTCGCCTTGCTCGTCTAACCTCTTTGCAGGGCCCGCATGCAGGTGACTGGCTCACTGTGGCTCCATCCTCCCCGCACATGCAGCTTTCAGAGACTGAATGGCGCATTGCAGCAGCTATCCGCTTAGGCCTTCCTCTTCCTCACCTTTCATCTTCACTCACCTGCACCTGCAACTCCCCGTTCACCGATCCTTCCATCCATTCTCATGTCCTTCGCTGCCCTAGCAACAACGAGCCTACTAAGGTGCACGACGCAATCAAACGAGAAGTTCATCGCATTGCCTTGGAGCTTGGGTTCTCTGCGCAGATGGAAGACCAGCATCTCCTGCCTGGCCGCCGCACAGACATCACTTGCCGCGATATTAGCTCTGGTACCACCTGGGCCTTGGATGTTTCTGTTGCTGATCCACAAAAGGGGTTTCCGCACTCCAACGCAGCTACGGTGATTGGTTCAGCAACAGCCACTCATGAAAGTGAGAAGACCACCCACTATGCTGCAGCACTTCGTGACCGTCCAGACATCAAACTGTTTCCCCTTGTCATCGAAACCTTTGGTTGCTTCGGCTCTTCGTTCAACAACTTCCTTCGCCAATGCAGCCGCAAAGGGGCGTCACAACTCCGCGACTTGAGTGGTGCCACAGATTCTCTTCCCCAGCTGTTTGAGACCAACTTCTACAAACGGATTTCTCTGGTCCATCAACGTGAGCAGGCTCGCACTGTTTGTCGTCGTGCACAAATTCGTTTTACCGAGGGCGTCAACCACGCACCACCCGAGGTGACTTCTCTTTCTGCAGCTGACTTTGCCTACTTGGGAGAGGACCATTGAGACATCACAGAGGCCTATTTGTAGGCCTCACAATAGGATTAGCCTGCATGTCTCTCCATACACTACGTCTCTGGATTTGCCTTGTATCCATTGTACATTTACTATAGTGTCAATAAAGAGGTAGAATAGCACTCTGCCACGTCAGCACGGTGCAGACCCGGGTTCGATTCCCGGCTGGCACAGTTCCAATTTTGCCACGGGACCTGGTGGTCCCCACGAAGATTCTCGGGTTTTGCGTGCGATGGGCTCCTTGGGAACGGACTGTGCCGTTCTGCATAATGTCTTCTCTTAATGCATGTTCGTTTTACTGTACTAGTAGTTTGACACGGTTGTTAGGTGACACAACCGAACAGAAGCGCCATTCACATGACACCACTCACAACCACTTCCCATCTAAGCAACCGAGAACCAACAAAAACAACTGTGCAAGCAGTACACGTGGTTATGCGATGCAGTCCTCCTGCTCTCATAAAGCAGGCAGCTGCTCCCCTTGCATGCACCAGTTGGTTGAAGCCAACTTCGTCCTCTCACTTGCACCCTTTTTCCTTCATGTGCAAGTCAATTCAATGCAAACACAAGGTGGCCGTCAAACAATCCCAGTGGCGCTAAGCTAAGGCCTGCACAAGCCACACCCGAGGCAGAACTCTTCGGGGGCTTGGGGGTGCCACGCCACACGCAACGGGCACTGGTCCCCCCCGGTGCAGAGTGGTGCAACGTACGAGCGATTGCAATCCGGGCGGTTCTCGTGGCACGGAGTGCAGAAGTGAGTGGAGCCGAAACAGTGGAAGGAGGCGACAGAGCAGCAGAAGCGGCACTTGTACTGCACGGCTTCCTGCCCATGGTTGCTGCTGCACGGCTTGCCTGCCTCCCACAGCCGCTCCCTCCTTTCTCTCTCCTCCGCTGCTGCTGCTGCCACTGCTGCTGCTGCTGCTGCCGCCGCTGCTGCTGCTGCTGCTGCTGCTGCCGCTGCCGCTGCTGCTGCTGCTGCGGCTGCCTTTTGCTTTGCAGCTGCTTCAACAGCCAAGCAGTCACCACACACCAGCTCATTGCCTCCCTGACCCTGCCCACCCGCTTCCGCTGCTCGTTCTTCCTCCCCTCCCTCCCTCTCCCCTTCCTCCAATTCCTCTCCCTCCCCCTCCTCCATTTCCTCTCCCTCCCCCTCCTCCCCATCCTCAATCTCAGGCTCGGCAGCTGCAGGTCCGGCACCGCACCTCCGGTCGCCACCAAAGTACGGGCGGTGGCAGCGCGAGCAGAGGAAGAACAGCAACCGACGCAGCGCCCGCGCCAACACACTGTCCCCATCCCCACGCTCCTCCCCATCTCCAAGCCCCTCCCCAGCCTTCACCCTCTCCTCTGCCAATCCCTCCACTTGCCGTTTCAGAGCCAACGGGGCGGCAAGCTCTGTCTGTAGTGCAGGATGGTCCACAGTGATACTCGGGCAGAGGGGGCAGGAGAGAAATCCGAAGGAGATCTCGGGACCGGGATATGATTGGCGAATCTTCTCCCTTGCGCATGCTGCATGCACCACGTGGCCACAGGACGACAGCCAGATGGCTGGGGCGGCAGCGATCGGCTCCACCCAGCAAATGGGACAAAAGTCGCTGGTGGAGGGGAGGGGCGGGAGTGGGCGTGGGGCGGCAGAGGGAACACCACTGCTGCTGCTGCTGCTGCTGCTGCCGACTGTCTCAGCAGCAGCTGCAGCAGCACCGGCAATACCACCAGCACCCGGACCAGCAGCAGCAGCAGCTGCTTTGCTGCTCTCCAAACAGGCATCATGCAGGCACGGCAGGCAGTCCACCTCCCCTCTCACCCCTCCACACGCGTGCCCACATGGACCAACCCGCGTGCACGCGTCTCTCAGTCGCTCCCTGCACTGCTCCTCACTGCATACACACACTGCTGCTGCTGCCACTGCTGCTAGGTCGGTTTTGTTCGCGCACCAGCTCGTGTCTGCTCCTACTGCTGCAAGAATCTCCCGCATCTCTCCCTCATTCCAACTCCAGTTGCTCATGTCACGACTGCTGCTGTTGGTGCCACTGCCACCACTGCTGCTACCGCTGCCGCTGCTGCTGCCGCCGCTGCCGCCGCTGCTTACAATCATGCTGCCATGGTACGCAACCAGGTCTGCAAGCCGCTTAGCCACTTCTCCTCCGTCCTTCTTCCTCCCTCCACCAACACCATCCTCCTCAGCCTCTCCAGCCTGCTCTTCCCAATCCGGGTCCATCCCGCCCCACTCGACCCGCTCCCCACAGAAGCGGCACTTGAGAGCCGCAAGCCGCACAGCATGCGCAGCACAGGAGATCCCGAGGTGATACGGGTGCTCGCGGCACGACCCACAGAATACCACCCCGCATTCCCCACACCGGTATCTGTTATTCAGTTTATGGAGTACCATTTCCGGGGTAACTGGCCGGCCTTCCTCGTCTTTTTCTTCCACATTCAATGCGACTACTGCTGCAGCTGCCGCTTTTGCTGCGGCTTCTGCTTTTGCTGCTTTTTCCGCTGCTTCTGCTACTGTAACTTTTGCTGTCTCCGCTGCTGCTGCTGCTTCGGCGGCCTCTGCTGCTTGTACTGCTGCTGCTGCTTGTGCTGCTTCTGCTGCTGCATTTGCTGCTGCCGCTGCCTCTGCTGCCTCTGCTGTATCCGCCGCCGCTGCTACTTCAGCAGCATCTGCAGCATCTGCTGCCGCTTCCGCTGCTTCGGCTGACAATGCCGCTGCTGCGTCTGCTGCTTCTTCCGCTGCTGATGCTGCTGCTGCCTCTCCTGCTGCTGCCTCTGCTACTGCTGCTGCTGCGTCTGCTGCTGCAGATACAGCAGCTGCTTGTGCAGCTTCCGGATCTGCAGCTTTAGCGGGCAGTTTTTCCACAAGCACGTGGCATCCCGGGCAGATCACAAATTCATCTCCCCCGGAAAAACCGGCAAGGGCAACCGACGTCGCCGCTTCTTCCCACTGCCAGAATTCTTCGGGCAGAAGGGTTTGCACGTGGAGAGCTGGAACTGGCTGCACACAGCACGGGCAGGCCATAAAATATTCCCCATGAGAATTTCCAAGGAATTTTCCAGGAGAAAATCCAGGAGAATGAGCAGAGGGGGATCGATAATGATCCCCCTTCATCAGCTGCGCTTTGAGATGCTCCAGCTGGGGCCGGAAGGAGCCGCGCGCGCAGGGGAGGCAGAGCAGGCAGGCGCAGTGGGGGAGGTCGAGGCAGCGCGCGAGGGGAGTGAGCACGGCGCACAGGCCGCACTCCACGTGGACGCTAGAGATTTCGCCATGTGGATGGTCCTCCTCCACGTCAACGTTCATTCTGGTCGTCTTTTCTGCCAGGGGTGAAGGATCGACGTCCATCGCTCAAGCAGCAGCAGCAGCGCCGCCGTTGCTGTTGCCACCGGTGACGTCGGTTGAAGGTAGTACCTTCCGATCTGGCTCTTGCTGTGCTCTTTCCCGTTCCTCGGCACGTAAGCCACTGCAGATTCCGACGCTGCTGCCACTGCCGATTCCGCACCGCGCACCGCCCAACAGTGTCGGAATGGAAGGTTGAAGGCTGTCGTGTCGAGCGGATGGATCTAATCCGATGGCATTAAGTTTTGAGGCGCCTCAAAGCTCACCTCGGATGGATCTATTCCGAAGACAAACTCCGTGCCAGCCACTGCTGGCACTGCCGATGTGAACGGATGGATCTAAACCCTTGTGATGAAGATGCGGGCACAGCACGACGGCTCAGTTTTTGACGAGGCGACTGCCACGCCGTGACTAAGCGGTGAGACCGAACGGTGGGACCGAACGTTCGAGGGATTGCATGTTGTTTGAGTTTCTCAAAAACGGGTGAGCTTATGAAGAGGCGACTGCCACGCCGCCGTGACTGATCGTTGAGACTCAGGGATTGGCTTGAGACTGGAACATCTGCGACACATCTGCTGCACGCTGCGACCCGAATGCGACGCCTCGGTGGGTGTCGCATACGGATTTCGTAAGCCATCCGTGACTACTGCTGCTGCAGCAGCCGCAGCGTCACAAGCGGCAGCAGCCTGTCAGCCGTCGCACATGCCGGTCAGACGACGCGCGTCGCACGACTGGACATAGGGGAGTCGATGATACAGGCGACAGTGGCGATTCAACCGACATTGGGGACTGGTATAATGGTATTGCGGCTGCATGGTTCAGTTTCGCTGCATGCTCGCAGGAACCGTGATGAATGAAGGGGTGACCGTGGGAAGTGAACATACCTGCGCGCCAAGCTTCCCGAACATACCTGTGTTACGGTGAACTCTTGGGCACTCCTGAGTTTCTGTTCGGTTGCAGATCCAAACGTGTGGCTTGCGACAGGTAACCAGAACCCCAGCGATTACATGACGAACAAGTGCCATTTCCTGCCAAACAATTTGATATAGAGCAAATACCAAACAATTTGATAATACCTCTGGGCGCTTTGATTGTCATCTATGGCAAATCAGGGTTCGATTCCCGCCTGGCATAAGGTCTTTTGCCGTGTTCCCATTTGGTGGTCCCAATGCTGTTCCTTAGAGCGCAAGCACCAGACACCAGTAGCAAGTACTTTCAAGAAACAAGCTAACAAAGGAAGATTGCAAGCACCTTTCTTTGGAGTGCTCATCTGTGTACCATACATGTCATGCTGACAGCAGGTGACAGAAAACCCCAGTGGCCCTTATGGCCTGCACAAGGAGCACCCAAGGTCTTGGGGATGCAATGCCTTGCCACATCGCATGCAACAAAGAGGCACTGAAACTGCACAACTTCCTGCATATCATACTGGTACTGCACCCATCCCACCCCATGCTCATGTTGCGTGATAATATTTTTTCCATATCAATGCATTCCAGCATTCTCTACCCTACGACGATTGCATACACTCCACAATACCTACAGCATTTACCACCATCCCTGCACCACCATCAGCAGAGCCAGAATGAACTTTCCCACCCTTGCCCCACTTCATGCATGCATCCATGCTACAGCCCAGCTGCCCCTAAGGCCTACACAGCGCACAGCCAAGGCAAAACTCCTGTGGGGCTTGGGGGTGCCATGCCACACGCAGCGGACACTCATCGCCCCCCGTGCACAAGGGGGTGGGTGGAATACCGCGATCGTGGCAACGCGCGCAGGAATGAGATGTGCCGCCGCAGACATAAGTAGCAACAGAGCAGCACGAGTAGCACTTGTACTGCACGGCCTCCTGCCCGTGGTTGCTGCTGCACGGCTTGCCTGCCTCCCACAGCCGCTCCCTCCTCTCTCGCTCCTCCGCCGCTGCTGCCGCTGCCGCCGCCGCTGCTGCTGCTGCTTCAACCGCCAAGCAGTCACCACATATCAGCTCAATGACTCGCTGACCCTGTCCACCCACTTCCACTGCTCGTCCTTCCTCCCCTCCCTCCCCCTCCCCCTCCTCCCCATCCTCATCCCCAGCCTCGGCAGCTGCAGGTCCAGCACCGCACCTGCGGTCGCCACCAAAGTGCGGGTGGTGGCAGCGCGAGCAGAGGAAGAACAGCAACCGACGCATCGCCCGCGCCAGAACACCGTTTCCTAAACTGTCATTCCCATTTTACTCCTTCCCCCCATCCCCATGCCCCCCTTCCTCCTTCCCCCCATCCCCATGCCCCCCTTCCTCCTTCCCCCCATCCCCATGCCCCCCTTCCTCCTTCCCCCCATCCCCATGCCCCCCTTCCTCCTTCCCCCCATCCCCATGCCCCCCTTCCTCCTTCCCCCCATCCCCATGCCCCCCTTCCTCCTTCCCCCCATCCCCATGCCCCCCTTCCTCCTTCCCCCCATCCCCATGCCCCCCTTCCTCCTTCCCCCCATCCCCATGCCCCCCTTCCTCCTTCCCCCCATCCCCATGCCCCCCTTCCTCCTTCCCCCCATCCCCATGCCCCCCTTCCTCCTTCCCCCCATCCCCATGCCCCCCTTCCTCCTTCCCCCCATCCCCATGCCCCCCTTCCTCCTCCCCCCCATCCCCATGCCCCCCTTCCTCCTTCCCCCCATCCCCATGCCCCCCTTCCTCCTTCCCCCCATCCCCATGCCCCCCTTCCTCCTTCCCCCCATCCCCATGCCCCCCTTCCTCCTTCCCCCCATCCCCATGCCCCCCTTCCTCCTTCCCCCCATCCCCATGCCCCCCTTCCTCCTTCCCCCCATCCCCATGCCCCCCTTCCTCCTTCCCCCCATCCCCATGCCCCCCTTCCTCCTTCCCCCCATCCCCATGCCCCCCTTCCTCCTTCCCCCCATCCCCATGCCCCCCTTCCTCCTTCCCCCCATCCCCATGCCCCCCTTCCTCCTTCCCCCCATCCCCATGCCCCCTTCCTCCTTCCCCCCATCCCCATGCCCCCCTTCCTCCTTCCCCCCATCCCCATGCCCCCCTTCCTCCTTCCCCCCATCCCCATGCCCCCTTCCTCCTTCCCCATCCCATGCCCCCTTCCTCCTTCCCCCATCCCATGCCCCCTTCCTCCTTCCCCCCATCCCCATGCCCCCCTTCCTCCTTCCCCCCATCCCCATGCCCCCCTTCCTCCTTCCCCCCATCCCCATGCCCCCCTTCCTCCTTCCCCCCATCCCCATGCCCCCCTTCCTCCTTCCCCCCATCCCCATGCCCCCCTTCCTCCTTCCCCCCATCCCCATGCCCCCCTTCCTCCTTCCCCCCATCCCCATGCCCCCCTTCCTCCTTCCCCCCATCCCCATGCCCCCCTTCCTCCTTCCCCCCATCCCCATGCCCCCCTTCCTCCTTCCCCCCATCCCCATGCCCCCCTTCCTCCTTCCCCCCATCCCCATGCCCCCTTCCTCCTTCCCCCCATCCCCATGCCCCCCTTCCTCCTTCCCCCCATCCCCATGCCCCCCTTCCTCCTTCCCCCCATCCCCATGCCCCCCTTCCTCCTTCCCCCCATCCCCATGCCCCCCTTCCTCCTTCCCCCCATCCCCATGCCCCCCTTCCTCCTTCCCCCCATCCCCATGCCCCCCTTCCTCCTTCCCCCCATCCCCATGCCCCCCTTCCTCCTTCCCCCCATCCCCATGCCCCCCTTCCTCCTCCTCCCCATCTCCAGCCTCCACCCTCTCCTCTGCCAACCCCTCCACTTGTCGTTTCAGAGCCAGCGGGGCGGCAAGCTCTGTCTGTAGTGCCGGATGGTCCATAGTGGTACTTAAGCAGAGGGGGCAGGATAGAAATCCACAAGAAATCTCGGGGCCGGGATATGATTGGCGGATCTTCTCTCTTGGGCATGCTGCATGCACCACGTGGCCACAGGATGACAGCCGGATGGCTGGGGCGGCAGCGACCGGCTCCACCCAGCAGATGGGACAAAAGTCGCTGGCGGACTGGAGGGGCGGGAGTGGTCGAGGGGCGGGAGTGGTCAAGGGGCGGCAGAGGGCACACCACTCCTGCTGCTCCCAGGTGCGTCAGCAGCAGCTGCAATGGCACCAGCAGCACCAAGGGCAGCAGCAGCACCAGCAGCAGAAGCACCAGAGGCACCAGCAGCAGAAGCAGTTGCAAAAGCAGGTGCTGCGTTGCTGGCTCTTGCGACAGATTTATCCTGGTGTCAGTTGATCCCACCTGATTGAGTGCCAGTGGTCTAGTGGTAGAATAGCACCCTGCCACGTCAGCACGGTGCAGACCCGGGTTCGATTCCCGGCTGGCACAACTCACCTTTTTGGCGGTCCGCACAGCGCTCGTTGGGTATTTCCCGCAATCAGCTCCTTCCAGTTCGAGCTACGCTCCTCAGTCTAGCAATGACTCTTTCTAGGAGTGACACAAAAACCACTCAGGAGACAATCAATCTCCCAACCACTTAGACACAAACAGAAAACTGTGCAAGCGATAAAAGATGCTGCCCCCCACTCTCATTACACATCCACACCCCTCCCATGCAACAGTTGGCTTGGGGTCACTTCCTCCTCGCACTTTACTTGCCACCCCTTATCCCTTAGTGTGTCCGTCTGATGTGCATGGTAATCCAGACAAAGGGTGACAGATAATCCCGGTGGCCCTACGGCCTGCACAAGCCACAGCCGAGGCAAAACTCCTCAGGGGCTTGGGGGTGCCATGCCACACGCAACGGGCACTGGTTCCCCCCGGTGCAGCGCGGTGCAACGTACGAGGAGCTATTGTAATTCGGGAGGGTCTGGTGGCACGCTGCGCAGTAGTGCGTGGAGCCGAAGCAGTGGAATGAGGCAACAGAGCAGCAGAACTGGCACTACTGCACGGCCTCCTGCCCGTGGTTGCTGCTGCACGGCTTCCCTGCTTCCCACAGCCGCTCCCTCCTCTCTCTCTCCTCGTCCGCTGCTGCTACCGCTGCTGCTTCTGCTGCTGCCTTTTGCTTTGCAGCCGCTTCAACTGCCAAGCATTTACCACACACCAGCTCATTTTCTCGCTGACCCTGTCCACCCACTTCCCCTGCTCGTTCTTCCCCCCCTCCCTCCCTCTCGCCTTCCTCCATCTCCTCTCCCTCCCCCTCCTCCCCATCCACATTCTCAGGCTCGGCAGCAGCAGGTCCGGCACCGCACCTACGATCCCCACCAAAGTACGGGCGGTGGCAGCGCGAGCAGAGGAAGAACAGCAACCGACGCAGCGCCCGCGCCAACACATCGTTCCCTAAACCGCCATTCCCATTTTCCTCCTCCCCATCCCCAAGCCCCTCTCCAGCTTTCACTCTCTCCTCCGCTAATCTCTCCACTTGCTGCTTCAGAGCCAGCGGGGCGGCAAGCTCTGTCTGTAGTGCAGGGTGCTCCATAGTCGTACCGGGGCAGAGTGGGCAGGAGAGAAATCCAAAGGAGATCTCGGGGCCGGGATATGATTGGCGGACTTTCTCCCTCGCGCATGCTGCATGCACCACGTGGCCGCAGGAGGACAGGCGGATGGCTGGGGCGGCAGCGATCGGCTCCACCCAGCAAATGGGACAAAAGTCGCTGACGGAAGGGAGGGGCGGCAGCGGGAGAGGGGCAGCAGCAGCAGCAGCAGAACGGGGGGCAGCAGCACCACCAGAAGCACGAGCATCAGAACCAGTGGCAGCAGCAGCAGAGGGAGAGGCAGCAGCAGCAGCAGCAGAAGCTGCATCTCTCTCCTCCTCACACGCATCATGCAGGCACGGCAGGCAGTCCACCTCCCCTCTCACCCCTCCACAAGCGTGCCCACACGGACCAACCCGCGTGCACACGTCCTTCAGTCGCTCCCTGCACTGCTCCTCGCCACACACACACACTGCGGCCGCTGCCACTGCTGTTAGGTCGGCTTTGCTCGCACACCAGCTTGCGTCTGCTCCTACTGCTGCCAGAAGGTCCCTCATCTCGCCCTCATTCCAACTCCAGTTGCTCATGTCATCACCACTGCTGCTACTGCTGCCGCTGCTGCCGGCACCGCTGCTGCCGGCACCGCTGCTGCCGCTGGTGCTGGAGCCGCCATTGCTACTGCTGCTTGCGATCGTGTTGCCAGAGAACGCTACTAGCTCTGCAAGCCGCTTAGCCGCTTCTTCTCCATCCTTCTTCCCCCCTTCTCCAACACCATCACCCCCGGCCAACTCCTCTCCAACCTGCTCATCCCAGGCCCAGTCAAACGTGTCCCACTCAACTCGCTCACCACAGAAGCGGCACTTGGGGGCAGCGAGCCGCACAGCATGCGCTGCACAGGAGATCCCGAGGTGATACGGGTGCTCGCGGCACGACCCACAAAAGACCACACCGCATTCCCCACACCGGTATCTGTTGTTCAGTTTATGGAGTACCATTTCTGGGGTTAGCGGCCGGCTGTCTTCGTCTCTTTCTTCAGCTGTCGCTGCGGCTGCTGCAGCTGCTGCTGCCTTTGCAGCTGCTTCTGCTTTTGCTGCTTTTTCCGCCGCTTCTGCTGCTGTTGCTTTTGCTGTCTCCGCTGCTGCTACTGCTTCGGCTGCCTCTGCTGCTTGTATCGCTGCTGCTGCCTGTGCTGCTTCTGCTGCTGCCTTCGCTGCTGCTGCGGCCTCTGCTGCCTCTGCTGTATCCGCCGCTGCTGCTGCTTCTGCAGCGTCTGCAGGATCTGCTGCCGCTTCTGCTGCTTCTGCTGTCGATGCTGCTGCTGCGTCTGCTGCTTCTTCTGCTGCTGATCCTGCTGCTGCCTCTGCTGCCTCTGCCTCTGCTGCAGCTGCTGCTGCGTCTGCGGCTGCGGCTACAGCTGCTGCTTCTGCAGCCTCCGGATCTGCAGCCTTTGCGGGCATTTTTTCCACAAGGACGTGGCATCCGGGGCAGATAACGAATTCATCTGCCCGGGAAAAACTGGCAAGGGCAACCGAAGTCGCCGCTTCCTCCCACTGCCAGAATTCTTCGGGCAAAAGGGTCTGCACGTGGAGAGCTGGGACTGGCTGAACGCAGCACGGGCAGGCCATGTAATCTTCCCCATGAGAAATCCCAGGATCATCCCCAGGAGAATTCCCAGGTGAATTTCCAGGAGAATGAGCTGAGAAAAGTTGATGACGATTTCCCTTCATCAGCTGCGCTTTGAGATGCTCCAGCTGGGGGCGGAAGGATCCGCGCGCGCAGGGGAGGCAGAGCAGGCACGCGCAGTGGGGGAGGTCCAGGCAGCGCGCGAGGGGAGTGAGCATGGCGCACAGCCCGCACTCCACGTGGACGCTCTTCTCCACGTCAGCGTTCACCTTGGTCGTCTTTTCCGCCTGAGGAGAAGGATCGACGTCCATCGCTCGAGTAGTAACAGCAGCAGCTGCTGCCGCCTACAAACTCGCTGGAGAGATTTGCAGCCGTAAACAAATCCGTCCGTCCGCAACGACAGAATGAAGAATTGAAGGCTGTCGTGTGGAGTGGATGGATCTATCGCGTGAGAGCAAGCGACATGGGCTTGTGATGAAGATGTGGGCACAACAGGACGGGTGAGCTTATGACTTTGCCACGCCGCCGTGACTGAACGTTGGGGACTCAGGGATTGGCTTTGACCCATTGGTGCGCGTCGCACACGGATTTCGTGGTTTCGTAACGCATCCGCGACCACTGCATCTGCAGCGTCGCGAGCGGCAGCAACCGGTCAGCCGTCGCACATGCCGGTCCGACGACGCGCGTCCCAAGATCCGACATAGGGGAATTGACGATAGACAGGACAGCGGCAATTGAACCGACATCGGGAACTGGTGTTGTGGCTGCATGGTGCAGCACCGGAGCATACATGCAGCAGCCAAGAATGGACGAAGGCATGTACTGCGCGCCAAACCCATGGCGTGATGTAGAATCCCCGTACCTCAGAACCCAACCTGACAAATCGAAATAATAAACAACCGGTCTAGAGCATTAATTACCACGATCGACCGTAGTGCACCGAAATCTTATGACAGTCCCTGAGTTGCAGTCTGGTTGGGGACCCAACGATAGTGCTTGCGACGAGTAACCCTATCCCCAGCGATTGCTTGACGACCCAAAGCCATTCGTTTTGGAACTGGTCCCGCGCGACCCAAGTTTCCTCGACCAAGCGGAACCAGTTCGTTCAATTTCGCCGAGCACTCAAAGTTGGAATAGAATCCTGTTACAAAATATCCTGCGTACCTCACGGCCGTACATCTTGCTAGCGGGTTTACACGCGGCAGCCGCAATGAGCCAGCCACGCGCTCGTTCCGCCGCCACCTCTCCGCACGCCGCTTCCACCACCTCCCCTCGCACCCCTTCCGCCACCCCGCTCGACCTCCGCCGCGAGTTTCTCCGCCGAGCCGCCGAGTCGCTCATCGTCAGTTCGCCGCCCGTTGCCGCCCACCTCGGGCGGTGCGTGCAGCTGCTGACGCCAGCGCCGGCGCTGCTGCAGCAGCGACAGCAAGGGCAGGCGGAAGCGGGAAGAGGAGGGGTTGGCGCCGGCAGCGCGGGCGGCGGTGGTAGTGGGCAGTCTGTTTCCAAGGCGATGGCGGTCGACGGGAGTGTGCTGTGCGCGGGGTGAGTGCGGTTCTCCCTCTTCTCTGCCGAATTTTTTCCCCTCCCCATGGCCAAAACCCCTTGCATCAGCTGCGGCCTCCCCCAAATCACCTCCCTTTGTCTGCTTCCTTCCTTCCTTACCCCGGCCCGCATCAGCTGCGGCCTCCCCCAGATCCTGCCTTCCACGTGCACCCTCACAATCGCCTCCTACCCGCGCATAGGAAACCAAAAGCGGAGGGCAAAGAAGTCAAAGTCGTCACAAAGCACCAAGACGGGGAGCAGCGGCAAAACTACCAGGCTGGTAGCTTCCCCAGTTGCGGTTCCCTGTGGGAATGCCAGTGGATCCGCCGTAGATGCGTCCTGTGCAGGCGCAGATGGCGCAGATGGCGCAGATGCTGCCGCCGCCGCCCCCCTTGTACTGTCTGAAGCGACCCGGAGAAGCGCCACATGCAACCAAGTGGCAGGTGAAGGTGCTTCCACTGATGCAGCTGCTGCTACTGCTGCTGCTGCTTCAGTTGCTGCTACGGCTGCCGCAACAGCCGCTGGTGGAGTTATTACAGCAGGTGGATCGGCTAGAAAAGAAACAGGAGAGAGAAGGAAGGGGGGCAGAAAGAGGCGAAGGAAGGCGAGAGGCCGAGGACAAGTGATGAAGGGCGGAGAGGAGCAGGAGAAGAGGAGACGGGTGGCGCAGGAGGGAGTGCAGAGAGCGGAGGGGAAGCAAGGGGAGGCAGGAGGGCGAGGGGAGGCGGTGAGTGGGGCTCTGCACAGGAACAGGGTGATTAGTGCATGTAGGTTCTGTGGGAGAGAGAGGAGGTGCAAGGGCAGCAGACAGGGGTATGTGAAGGGCAAGGCTGCTCAAACCAACTTGGTTCCATCTTGATGTCTGTGCTGTTGCTGTTTAGGTAGTGCACGCACAGGTACTGTAATAGCAGAAAGTTTCAATGAAGCTTCTGAAATACATGGAGCAGCATTTTTCCTCAACCTGCAAGAAATGCATGAAATTAGAGTACAATTCAAAATCATGACCTCTTATGCTTGGATTTGGTTGAGAATGGTAAACTACGGTACTAGGTATGATGTGGACGATGCAGTTGGTTGCACTCCACCTGGCAACCAATCGACTCATGCACTGTTGGCTTCTAAACTGGTTCTTTTGCAGGTGCTGACAACAATAACTCTAAAACTTGTGGTGCCTGTTCCACCACCATTGCAGCTGCCCGCGAATTGCAGAGCGCCATAAATATACCAAGAATGACCGCAGCTTCGCTTTACAGATCAGCCATGACGCGTTGCTGCCGCTGCTTGGCAGAGTGGGGTGCTGCTGCCCTTCCTACCACTCAACTCCGCACAGCTTCCACTGCGCCACAGCTTCCCCTCTCCCACAGCCGTTTACATGGGCGAGCCAAAGAGCAGTTTGCAGTGCCGAGGCCATCTGTCGCACCAGCACCTGCTGCCCGCCGGCGATGCGCCCCTCCTCTGTCAGTCGCTGCAGCTTCCCCTTCCCCCCAGCTTCCTCTATCTCCCTGTGGTTCGGGTTCATCTAGGCAGTCCGAAGTGCAGCCATTTGAGCAGCGCCGAAGCCATATGTCGCACCAGCATCTGCTGCCTGTCGGCGATGCAGGTTCCCCTCTCCCCCGTTTCCCCCTCTCCCCCGTTTCCCCCTCTCCCCCGTTTCCCCCTCTCCCCCAGCCTGGTGGTTCGGGTCTATCTGGGCGGGCCGAAATGCAGCCCTTTGAGCAGCGCCGAGGCCATCTGTCTCACCAGCACCTGCTGCCCGCCGGCGATGCGCCGATCCTCTGTCGGCCGCTGCAGCCCCCCCTCCCCCTCAGCTTCCCCTCCCCCCAGCCTTGTGGCTCGCATTTATCTGGGCGGGCCGAAGTGCAGTCCTTTGAGCAGAGCCGAAGCCATCTGTCGCACCAGCACCTGTTGCCCACCCGCGATTCGCCGCTCCTCTGTTAATCGCTGCAGCTTTCCTGGCAATTCCTCCGGCACACACAGCCCCTTGGGGTATGGGTGCTGCTCGTACACCGCCTGGGAGAAGGGGAGGGTGGAGGGGAAAGGGGGTGGAGGGAGAGGAACAGTGACGTTGAGATTGAGTGAATTGACAGCGTTGCCTATCTGCAATCAATGGCACACACGGCCCCTCGGGGTGCGGGTGCTGCTCGTTCACCACTGCCTGGCGTATGGATTGGTAGGGGGGCGGGAAGAGAGAGAGGAGGGGGGACAATGGTGACAGTTGCCCTTGGGTGCACTGACGAGGCACACACAGCCCCTTGGAGTACCAAGGGGCACCTTGAGCAAGAGCCACCGAGTATACACCGTCAGCTCAACACCACGACTCAAGCCACCTTGTATGTATCACGAATTCACATCGAGCAACTTGGGAAGGCTGAGGAGCACTGTGGGACCAAGCTGAGGGTCGTCCAGTTCTTCCTTCCATCCACAGGCCATGAAGACACAGGGCACCTACATATTCCCCTCCATGCCCTTGCTAAGTCTGACCCCACACGCCAGCACCTCACCTTGAGCAGCTTGAGCAGGTTCAGCCGCACGGCGGGCTCCAGCTGAGGGTCGTCCAGGCGAGCCACGAGCAGGTCGCCCAGGCCTCCCACCGACAGCGCTGCATTCAGTGTCGGCGACTTGCTGTTGTGGGAAGTGGATGGGGTCGGGTGGGAAAGGGGGAAAACATAAAGGGTGGGTGCTACTGGGGAAGTAAAAGGGACTAACAGCCGAGCCACGAGCAGGTCGCCCAACCCTCCCTCAGACAGCGCTGCATTCAGTGTTGGCAACTTGCTGTTGTGGTTGGTGAATGCGGGAATGGGAAAGTGGAAAAAAAAAAAAAAAAAAAAAAAAAAAAAAAGGTGAGGGCGCTTAGCCCTCCCACTGACAGCGCTGCATTCAGTGTTGGGGCCTTGCTGTTGTGGCGGGTGAATGGGGCCTGAGAAAGAAAGAGGAGGGGTAAGTGGGGGATTTCAAATTAGGGTGGGTGCATGGAGAGGGCAAAGGGAAGACGTGCTTCAAGGAGAGGGCAGGGCAGGGAGCAGGGCCCACTCACGTGACGAGGCGCAGCAGAAGCTCAAAGAGTGCTGTAAAAGATGGAGTCTTGGCGGCCCCGCGCACGAACCACACAAGTGCCTCCAGGGAATCCCGGCGCAGCAACGTCTGCTCCACGTGCCGCCCCTCCCCATCGTTCACCACACACGCCACCACCGCCTCAAACGCCGCCGCCCCCCACATCCTCTCCGCCCCTTCCCCACATCCCATCCCCCCTGCTCCCCCCGCTCCCCCTGCTCCTCCTGCGCCTCCTGCAACACCCCCTCCTCCGGCTCCCCCCTTTCCCCCGATTCCGTCCTTCCTGCTGTCCGCGAGGCGGGCAGCGATGGCGGCGTGGGGCGTGAGTGGTTCAGCGAGGAGGGAGAGCAGCAGCGGCAGCGCGTTGTGGTGCAGCAGTGTGTCGCAGGCAGCACGGGAGGCCGTGGCGAGCAGGCACAGCAGCGGCAGCGCAAAGGGCAGCAGCGGGGAGCGCGAGGAGATGAGATCCATGAGGGGGGGGACGATGGAAGCTTCTGCTGCCAGCTCCTGCCTGCGCTTGCTGCCCCTGCAGAGATTGTACAGCGCCATCAGCGCCTGGTGTGGAAGGGGGGGGTGGGGGAGGGAAGGAGGGGAGGGAGGGGGAGGGAGGGGTGGAAATGGTCATTGGAGGCGAGGAGGGAGAGCAGCAGCGGCAGCGCGTTGTGGTGCAGCAGGGTGCCGCAGGCAGCGCGGGAGGCTGTGGCGAGCAGGCAGAGCAGTGGTAGGGCGAAGGGGAGAAGAGGCGAGCGCAAGGAGATGAGCGCCATGAGGGGCGGCACGATGGAAGCTTCTGCTGCCAGCTCCTGCCTGCGCTTGCTGCCCCTGCACAGATTGTACAGCGCCATCAGCGCCTGGTGGTCGTGGCGGGGGGGAGGAGGGGGGGGGGGGGGGGGGGGAGGGGGGGTGGGGGGAAAAATATTCAGATTAGGAAGGAGCGAGAGCAGCAGCGGCAGCGCGTTGTGGTGCAGCAGAGTGTCGCAGGCGCCATGAGCGCCTGGAAAGATGGAAAGGGGAGAGGAGGAGAGAGGGGGAAGGGGAGAGTGCATATTGTATGGTATTCCTGCCTTCGCTTGCTACCCCTGCAGAGATTGTACAGTGCCATCAGCGCCTGGTGGTGGGAGGGGTTAGGGGGAGGGGGGAGGGGGGGGAAGGGGAGCGGGGGGGGGGGGGGGGGGGGTTTATTGCTGTATGAACCTCACAGCACTCACCTTTGCTTGATGCACTCACCTCTGCCTGAATGTCACAGAACAGCGAAGCCGGATACACCACCGCTCCCCCACCACCTCCGGTCCGGCTCTCCCCCTTCTCCCCCTCAAACCGCTCTCTGAACCCCGCATCAATGTACGGCACGAGTGCACGGACAGCATCGGCCCTCTGTAATGAATCATGCGAGGCGGCATCGGCCGACAGCTGGCGGAGCACTCATGTGGACCTTACACCACGCACCTCAGCCCTAACCTCACACTACTCACCTCAGCCTGAATGTCGCAGAACAGTGAAGCTGGATACACCGCCCCAGCCCCCCCCCCTGTCCGGCTCTCCCCCTTCTCCCCCTCAAACCGCTCTCTGAACCCCGCATCAATGTACGGCACGAGCGCACGGACCGCATCGGCCCTCTGCAATGAATCATGCGAGGCGGCATCAGCCGACAGCTGGCGGAGCACCCTCAGCAGCAGCAGCAGCACGGGCGGGGGGAGGGACTCCCTCGCGTCGAGTAGGCGTTTAAGGAAGGATGGGGCGAGCATGTGTGCGCGCACTGCCTCGTCTGCCTGGCAGAGGTGCAGCAGGAGGAGGGCGGTGCGGGTGAGGTAGAGCGTGTCTTGCGCTGCCAGTGCTGCCGGGTCTAGCTGCTGCTGCTTCACCGTTGCTGCTGATGAGGAGGAGGAGGATGAGGTGAAGGTGCTGGTATCTGTGGAAGAGGAGGACCCACTGCCCCACCCAGCACCACCACCAGCAGCACCAGCACCACCACCACTGTCACCGGAACTGGTCCCATATGTGAAAGTAGCAAATTGAACAAGTCATCAGATTAGAGGAACAACCTAGCATACATAGTTGGAAGGGAAGGTTGGAAGGGAAGGATGAAAGTGACCATAGGTTGGGTTGACCTCACTTGGGGAAGTGAGGGAACCATAGGTCAAGTGGGTTGGGTTGCCCACACTTTGTAGAAGTGAGGCAACCCTAGGCCCACTTGGCTTGGGGTAACCTCAATTGTGGGAAGTGAGGTACCCACAAGTCAAGAGGGTTGCATTTGGGGGCTCCACCACAATTGGGTGGATTGGCACCCCAAAGTGCAAGACTACACCCAAAGTTGGGTGTAGTCCCAACCCAACTGTACACCACAATTGGTGTACAGTCACATGTGTTGGCATGCTACACAATATATATTTTAACACAACCCCTTAGCATGCTAACACAAGAAGAGAACAACCCCTGAATCAAGGGGCGCCCGGGCGAGCAAGGCCAATGAGGCGGAGGAAGGCAGAGTGCGCGGGGCGAAGGAGGGCCTTAGTGAAGATGTCGGCCAAGTTGGCCTCGGTTGCAATCTTGCGAACGGCAATGAGGCCCTTCTGGACGAGCTCGCGAACGAAGAAGTAGCGGAGTTCGATGTGCTTGGAGCGGGCGTGATAGACGGGGTCCTGAGTGAGATGGATGGTGCTGGCGTTGTCGCACCAGAGAGTGGGGCACGTCTGGGGGGCGCCAAGCTCCGCAAGAAGGAAGCAGAGCCAGCGCGACTCCTGGGCGGCCATGGTGCCAGCGTAGAGCTCGGCTTCGCAGGTGGAGAGAGAGATGGCGGAGGAGCGGGTGGAGCGCCAGCTGATGAGGCCGCTGCCAAGGGTGAAGCCGTAGCCCTGGGAGGAGCGGCGGTCCGGCTGCGTGTCAGCCCATGAGGAGTCACTGAAGCCCGAGAGAAGGGGACGGGAAGGGCCGCCGAGGGTGAGGGCAAGGTCCCTGGTCCCGCGAAGGTAGCGGAGGACCCGCTTGGCAGCTTTCCAGTGCTCCTCAGAGTGACGACCGGTGCCGACAAAGCGAGCGAGCACGCTGATGGGGTAGGCGAGGTCGGGGCGGGTGCACATCATTGCGTACATCAAGGACCCAACGAGCTCGGCATAGGGGTGGGGGGAGGAGGTGGGGGAGGTGGGTGGAGCGAGTTGGTGACCGAAGGGGAGCGGGGTGGAAACAGGCTTGGCTTGCGCCATGTCGAACTTCTCCAAGACCTGGCCGATGTAATGGGACTGGGAGAGGGTGATTGTGCGAGCAGGGCGGTTGCGCGTGATGGTCATGCCGAGGTAGTGAGTGAGGGCGCCAAGGTCCTTGCACTTGAGCCGCTGCTGCAGGGACAGCTTCACCTGCTCCATGTCGGCCTTGGTGTCAGAGAGCAGGATCATGTCGTCGACATATACCAGAATGAAGAAGCGGCGGGGGGAGGAGCGGATGAAGAGGCTGGCGTCGGAGTGGGAAGCAGAGAAGCCGAGGGACCCCAAGGTGGCAGCCAGCTTCGCATGCCACTCACGTGGTGCCTGCTTCAAGCCGTAGACGGGGCGACGCAGCTGCCAGACAGTGTTCTCAGGAAAGGCTGCGTGGAACCCGGGGGGTCGCCAGAGGAAAATGCGCTCATGCAGGTCGCCCTGCAGGAACGCATTGGAGACGTCCATGGAGTCGATTTCCATGTCGTCACGTGCACCAATGTCCATGGCGGCGCGAAGGGTGGGTGGTTTGGCGGTGGGGGCGTAGGTGAACCAGTAGTCCTCAGCCCAAGTCTGCGTGAACCCCTTGGCGCAGTAGCGGGCCTTGTACACTAGTTCCTCGCCCGGCAGCTGCTTCACCCGAAAGACCCATTTGCCGTCAACGAGATTAGCGCCAGCAGGGAGGGGGACATCGACAAAGGAGTCGTTGCGAATGAAGGCCTCACACTCCAGGAAGATCGCTGCTATCCATTTATCCGTATCAGGGCAGGTGATGGCTTCCTGGAAGGTGGAGGGAGTGAAGATGGTGGGGGTAGTAGTGGCGCCAAGGACAGGAAAGCCCAGGAAGTCAAGGTAGAGGGCGGCAAGGAATGGAGTGTGCTCCCGAATGTTGAGGAACTCCTCATGGGAGTCCTCAAGGAGCTGAATGGAGGCAGGAGGAGGAGCCCCAAGGATTTTGTCCACCGAGCGGGTATGGATGTAAGGGAGGAGGAAGGGGGAGGAGCGGGAAGTGGCACGGCGCCGCTGCTGCTGCTGGTGCTGCTGCTGCTGATGCTGCTGCTGCTGCTGCTGTCCCGGCTGCTGCTGATGCGGCTGCCCCGGCTGCTGCTGCTGCTGCTCCGGCTGCTGCTGCTGCTGCTGCTGCTGCTGCCCCGGCTGCTGCTGCTGCTGCCCCTGCTGCCGTTGCTGGTGTTGCTCCCGCTGCTGCTGCTGCTGCTGGTGCTGCTGCTGCCCCTGCTGTTGCTGATCCGGCTGCTGCTGCTGCTGCTGCCCCTGCTGTTGCTGATCCGGCTGCTGGAAAGGAGGAGAATGAGAGGAGGAGGGAGAGGGGGGAGGGGGTGCAGCTGAGTGAGCGGGGGAGGCGGGTGCGGCAGGGTCGTAGACGTCGGCAGAGGAGGAAGGCGGGAGTGGGGCGGCTACAGGTGGGAGGAGAGGCGCTGGAGGGATAAGAGGCGGGAGGATGGTGTCGGTCCAAGCGAGGGGGCGAGTGGGAGGAGGGAGGGGGTCAGGAGGAGGGGTGGAGTAGTAGGGAGTGGACTCGTCGAAGACGACGTCAATGCTGCGGATGAGGCGATTGGTGGGAGGGTGGAGGAATAGGTAGCCTGGGGAATCACGATTGTGCCCAAGGTAGACGCACTCCAGAGCGCGAGGAGCGAGCTTGCCAGCAGCGCGGGAGCGGTCGGCCGGTGGAATGAGGACGAACGCCTTGCAGCCCCAAACACGAAGGCCTGCGGCGTCAGGCTTGGCCTTGGACCAGAGTTCTGTGGGGGAGGAGGAGGGATGCTGAGGGTGGGAGCGGAGATTGAGGAGGAGGGCGGCATGAATGAGGGCATAGCTCCAGAGGGAGGGAGGGGTGGAGGCGTGAGCAATGAGGCAGCGCGCAATCTTGGTGATCTCACGGATGCGACTCTCAGCGATGCCGTTTTGCTGAGGGGAGTGGGGAAGGGTGGTGGTCTGCTGAATGCCGTATGTTTTGCAGTAAGTGGAGAGAGTATGATTGATGAACTCACCCCCACCGTCAGAGTGAAGGCGGCCTATGGGACGTTTGAAGTGGTTGCGGCACTGCTCAGCCCAGTTGATGACCACAGCCGGCACCTGGTCTTTCGTGTGAAGAAAGAAGACGGTGGAGTACCGACTGTGGTCGTCGACGAGCACGAGCATGTACCTGTGCCCCTGACGGGAGCGGATGGGATAAGGGCCCCAGAGATCCATGTGAACAAGGTCAATGGGGGCGGGAGCGAAGGTGGGATGACTGTGATGGGGGGACTGTTTGAGCTTGCCATGAATGCATGATGGGCATGGGGGAGCAGGGGAGGAGGGGAGGGGAGGTAAGGTGGGAGGAAGGCTGTTAAGGAGGCGAGAGGTGACGGTGGAGCGAAGTGCGGCGAAGTTGGGATGGCCGAGTCTGTGATGTAGGAGCACTGCAGGATGGGAGAGGGCAGTAGAGGAGGAGGGGGATGGGGTGGGGGAAAAGTTGGGGGGGGAGGAGGAGGCGGATGGAGTAGAGGAGGAGGATATCGGAGGAGGGGGAGGGGGAGGGTGAGGGGGAGGGAGAAGGGGACCGGTGGAAGTACCAGCACGAGTGGTGACGTGACAAAAGGAGGGACGGGGTGTGCGGAGCGTGTAAAGGCGAGTGCGAGGGCAAAGGGGAATGCGCAGGAGGAAACGACCAGAGGCGGTGTGGTAGAGATCGCAGTAGGAAGCAAAGCCAGGGTATATGGCGGTAATGCCAACGCCTTGGAGTTCACGGTGGGAGAGGAGGTTATTGCGAAGGGTAGGGATGTGGAGACCGGTGACTGTACCGGATGGGAAGGCGGTGCAAGGAAGGGTGGAGAGGTGAGTGCAGGGGATGGAAAAGCTGGAGTCGGCACCATGAACCTGGGTGGGAAGTGGAAGGGGGGTGAGGGTGCCAGCGTCTTTTAGTGCGGTTTCGGTGGCCCCACTGTCAAGGACAAAGTCCAGGGTGGGGGGGGAAGGAGAGGGAGGGAACACAGAGTACTGGAGAGTTGTTTCATGGATAGAAGAGGGAGAGAGCGACGGGTGCTGCTGCTGTAAGTACTGTTGCTGCTGCGGGTGCTGCGGTGGGAGAGACTGTGACGGTTGCGGCTGGAGAGATTGGGCTGCTGCTGCTGCTGGAAGCATCGCCGATGCTGCCGCGGTTGCTGCGGCTGGAGAGATTGTGGTGGCTGCTGCTGCTGGAAGCACTGCTGCTGCTGCGGATGGAGAGAACTGTGGCTGGTGCTGCTGCTGGAAGCACTGCTGCTGCTGCGGCTGAAGAAACTGTGGCTGCCGCTGCTGCTGGAAGGACTGCTGCTGCTGCGGCGGAAGGAACTGTGGCAGCTGCTGCTGCTGGAAGCACTGAAAATGCTGCGGCTGAAGAGACTGTGGCTGCTGCTGCTGCAGGAAGGACTACTGCTGCTGCGGTGGAAGGAACTGTGGCAGCTACTGCTGCTGGAAGGACTGCCGCTGCTGCGGCTGGAAGGACTGCTGCTGCTGGGGATGGAGAAACTGTGGCGGGTGAGGCTGGAGAGATTACGGCTGCTGTTGGTGTTGGAAGAACTGCTGCTGCTGCGATTGCCGCGGCTGGAGGAGATGTGGGGGGTGCGGCTGGAGAAATTGTGGTTGCTGCCGCTGCTGGAAGTCCTGCTGCTGCTGATGCTGGAGCTGCTGGAAACGCCGCAGATGGGGAGGGGGGGAGGGGGTGAGCAGGCGGAGATAAGGGGGGGGGGGAGGAGTGGAGGGTCGGAGTGTTGAGAAGGGAGGGGCGAGGAGTAACACTGCTCCAGTGAGGAGGGGGGAGAGGGGCAGGGGGGGTAACAGTCATGATGGGCGACGGCGGGTGGACCCGCGGCGGCCAAGGGTGAAGTTGCTGCTGCGGAGGCTGCTGCACTTCCCCTGCTGCCGCTGGCAGGAGGAGGGAGGGGGGGGGGGGGGGGGGGGGGGGGTAAAGGAGGGAGACAGCGGTGGAGGGTAGAGGCGTTCAAGGTGCAGGGAGCGACGGTGACAAGGGCGCAGGCGGCTGTGCGAACGTGCGGCGGCGGGAAGGGGAGGCGGTGGCAAAGTCGGGGGCGGCGGCGGCGAGCAGGCCGCGACGACGAGGGGCGCAGGCGACGGCGGAAGGGCCGCGGCGGCGAAACGAGGGACGGCGGCGGCAGGCAGGCCGCGGCAACGAGGGGCGCAGGGGGAGGGGGAGGGGGGGGGAGAGGAGTAGGGAGAGGAGGAAGGGAGGGTGCAGTTGCGGCTGAATCTGCAGGCGGCGACGGGGCAGTCACGGCGGCAGGAAGTGTGGGCGGGGATGGCGCGGTCGCGGTGGAGGATGGGCAGACGGCGCCGAAGTAGTCGCGGCGGTAGGGCGGCGGCGGCGCAGTGGCGTTAACGGGAACCGCGGGGCGACGATGTTGCAGTTGCGGCGGGGGAAATTGCGGGAGGGTGGCGATGCAGAAGGGGCAGCGAGATGCGTGGGTGACGCGGAAGCAGGTGCGGCGGTGGGAGGGGAGGCGGCAATGCGAAATCGCGGCGGGGGGGGGGGGGGGGGGGGGGGGGGGGGGGGTGGGGGCGGGGAGGTGACGACGAGCAGTCGCGGCGGCGGAATGCGCAGGCGGCGATGTTAGGTCGCGGCGGCGGGACGGGCAGGGGGCGACGAGCTGTCGCGGCGGCGGGACGGGCAGACGGCGCCGAAGCAGGCGCGGCGACGGGAAGGGGAGGCGGCGACGTGACGTCGCGGCGGAGGGACGGGCAGGCGGCGACGAGGCGTCGCGGCGGCGGGATGCGCAGGCGGCGCCGAAGCAGGCGCGGCGGCGGGAACGCGGCGACGAGACGTCGCGGCGGAGGGACGGGCAGGCGGCGACGAGGTTGTCGCGGCGGCAGGATGCGCAGGCGGCGCCGTAGCAGGCGCGGCGGCGGGAACGCGGCGACGAGACGTCGCGGCGGAGGGACGGGCAGGCGGCGACGAGGCGTCGCGGCGGCAGGATGCGCAGGCGGCGCCGAAGCAGGCGCGGCGTCGGGAACGCGGCGACGAGACGTCGCGGCGGAGGGACGGGCAGGCGGCGACGAGGCGTCGCGGCGACAGGATGCGCAGGCGGCGCCGTAGCAGGCGCGGCGGCGGGAACGCGGCGACGTGACGTCGCGGCGGAGGGACGGGCAGCGGGCAGGCGGCGACGAGGCGTCGCGGCGGCAGGATGCGCAGGCGGCGCCGAATCAGGCGCGGCGGCGAGAAGGGGAGGCGGCGACAGGGGGCGCGGCGGGGGGGAGGAGGGGACAGCGGCGTTGCGCTCGCGGCGGTGGAATCCGCAGGCGAGGAAGGCGTAATCGCGGCGGGAGGGGGGGGGAACGGCGGCGACGGCGTAGGTCGCGGCGAGAGTATGCTAGTGATGGCTAGTTGAGCCACGCGTAGGAAAGGGTTTGTAGCTGTGGGGTGGGCCCATGGGAAAAAAAAAAACTGAAGGGAGGGAGAGGTAAGGCCTAGGAACAAGTAGCTCTATACCATGTGAAAGTAGCAAATTGAACAAGTCATCAGATTAGAGGAACAACCTAGCATACATAGTTGGAAGGGAAGGTTGGAAGGGAAGGATGAAAGTGACCATAGGTTGGGTTGACCTCACTTGGGGAAGTGAGGGAACCATAGGTCAAGTGGGTTGGGTTGCCCACACTTTGTAGAAGTGAGGCAACCCTAGGCCCACTTGGCTTGGGGTAACCTCAATTGTGGGAAGTGAGGTACCCACAAGTCAAGAGGGTTGCATTTGGGGGCTCCACCACAATTGGGTGGATTGGCACCCCAAAGTGCAAGACTACACCCAAAGTTGGGTGTAGTCCCAACCCAACTGTACACCACAATTGGTGTACAGTCACATGTGTTGGCATGCTACACAATATATATTTTAACACCATACCCCCCTGCTCTTGCACCCACTCCATTTCCGCCACTGGAAGAGCCACCAGCACCACCTGCCACTCCTCCCCCTCCTCCTCCTGTTTCGGCTGCTGCTGATGAGGATGTTGCCCCTCCTTGTGCCTGCGAGTCTCCCGCGCCCTGTCCAGCCTTGGCTGCCTTGCTTCGGAACTGCGCTAGGCCGAAGATGCGGCGCTGGGAGCGCCGAGCAGGAGTGGCAGCGGCAGGAGCAGCAGCAGATGATGTTGAGGAGGAGGAGGTTGCAGGAGAAGCAGCAGCTGATGCTGCTCCCCCTCCTCCTCCTGCTCCTGCTCCTCCGCCATAGCCAGAAGCAGAAGCATCCCCTGACCCGTAGGCCGAGCCACCACCAGAGCCAGCCGCACCGCCATCCCAGCTGCTCCTACCACCTCCCTCACCCCCACCATCACCACCCCCACCAACACCACTACCAGCACCAGAAGCACCAGCAGAGGCGGGGTGGTTGCGGGCGGAGGAGACGGAGTGCAGGAGGGAGAGCAGGCGGTGCAGCAGCCCCATGCGCGCCAGCTGCCTCGCAATGTCGGTGCGCGGGGTGGGGCGCCCCGCTGCCAGCACTGCCAGCAGGCAGTCCAGCCCTATGTGCACAAACGCACTGAGGGAAGGGGGTTGGGTTGGGGGGAGGTGGGGAGAGGGCTTTGAGTCGACTTGAAAAACTTGCTGCCAGCTCTACCAGCAGGCAGTCCAGCCCTATGTGCACGAACGCACTGGGAGGGGAGGGAGGGTGGGGAGCGAGAGGCAGGAGAAGAGACGGGGAGGAAGCCTGTTGAGTCGCCTCAAAATATTTGCTGCCAGCACCTAAGTGGGTATATACGCGTATAGCGTATATACGCGTATCGTATATACGCTATCGTATATACGCTATACGCATAGGTCCCGAAACCCTAGATACGCTATTCGGGCAGGTTTAAAAAAAGTTAGGGCAGCTAAAGTAAGACCCCCCTGATATACTTATGCGGTCAGTTTCCACAGGGGTTGGATTTCCCGGATTTTTTTCCCGACCCAAAATTATTCACCAACAACATTACAATGACACATACTCATCTCATACTACTAGCACACATACTACAACTCACGCTACTCCAGATCAATTACGCCACCTACTCATACTCATCCTCCAGAATGACGTCGTCCCCCTCCTCCTCCTCCTCCTCGTCCCCCTCCACCACATTGTAGCCCTCGGGCATGGGAGGCTCCGGCATGTTCCCGAGCACCACACCCGGCATGACATCTGCACGGGAATGCCAATTGCGCACAACATTCCAGTTGTGCGCAACAAAAACCAAATCCCGGCACTTGGCAGAGCCAAGCCGGTTCCGGCGGGCCGTGTGCACCCCATCCCACGTTGACCATCCCCTCTCACATGGTGAAGCCGACACGGCCTGAGAGAGAGTCCTGATGGCGAGGGCCGCCAGCTTTGGTGCGTCAGTGCCGTGCCACTGCCACCACTTTACCATGTCATACTTGCCCTCCTTGACCAAGCTCCTCTGAGCAATTGCATCCCCCATCCCGAAGCTTCCCTTCATATCCAGAAATGCCCTCACCCCCTTCTGCAGTTCCAGCAAAACCTCGCCAAAGTCATCCCCATCATCCCCCTCCTTACCGTGATTGCAGAGGTGCTCGGCGTGCTGAGTGATGAACGCTTTGAATACCTTTGTGCACTCCGCGTCTGAGCCGAAGATGTCTTCATCCTGGTTCGCCGGGTTGAGAATCCGGCCCGCAACGTGCATGGGGCAGGCGAGGCTGCCATCCCACCTGTTCTTCAGCAGGCGGCGGATGTGCACTTTGTCGGAGTAGGAGAGCTGCTCCTCATCCTCCTCCACCACTGTCCCCACATCCTCGGTCAACTGCAACATTGTGTCATACATACGGCCCATCATCCCCTTGGCATCCGCATCGGTCTTACGCATTGCGAAGAACGGGAGCTTCATCAGCTTGCAGAAAAACTCCGCCGTTTTCCACCACGCGTCATCAAGAACTTGCGCTGCAAACTTCTCCGCAGGCTTCTTCCTCTCCCCAGCTGCCCAGCCCTTCCACACATCAGACACAACCATCTGTGCAAGCGACTGCCGCAGCTCACAGAGACGGGACACAACAATGTATTGTGTCCCGAATCTTGTTCCAGCCGGTTTCAGCGCCTGCAGCATCCTTGCACCCACCATTTCCGGGTTCCGCAAGTATCCCCTCGTCCAGTGGTGGTTGCGGACGAAGGAGCTGATATCGCCCGCAGGGTCCACCACGTTCTTGGCCCACGGCATCTTGCCGACGTCCTCCATGAAGAGGTCCAACACGTGGGTGGCGCAAGGCACGTGTTGAATGTGCGGCCATTCCGCGATCAACTGGTTGCACGCCACCGCGTAGTTGGACCCACCGTCCGTGCAGAACGCCACCACGTTCTCCGGACCGACCTCCTCCACCACGGGCCTGAGGATGCTGGCGACATAACCGCCAGTTTTGGTCTCCATGCGGCAGTCCACGCTGTCCTTGAACACCGCGCCACTGTCGTTGACGAGAAACACGTTCGCCTGGGGGCGACCGTTCTTATCGGTCATCATATCAGAAGCAACTGTCACGCCGGTCCGCTTCCAGCTCGCCTTCACTCCAGAAAGCCCCCTGTCGATGTTGTCGCAGCACATTCGCAAGCCCGCCCCGCCGATGAACCGCCTGTTTGGTGGGACGTATCCTGTGCCGGCGTCTCTAATGGCACGAACGGCGTTGATGAAGAGAGGGTGCTCCGCAACGCGCTCCGGGATGCGACACCCCGCGAACATGAGCGCCAACGCCTCATGTGCATCGCGCTTCCCAGCTTCCGCACCCGTCTCCAAGTAGTCAGTAATGCGGCTCCTCTTGCCGCTGCTGGTGACCGACGCGATGGCATCCGATGTCGCCTGGCGGCGCTGAGCCGCCGCTGCAGCCTTAGCCTCGTACTTCTTCCGCATGGCAACCCGCGCTTCAGTGGGGGCTTCCTTGCATAGCGCCACTTCGCGGCGCTTCATCTTCCTCCAACTCGCCAAGTGCTGCGCGCAGCGGATGGCGGCACCAGAAAAAACATTGCAGCAGTACCTGCACTCGTACTGCTGCGATTTCCCCTCGTCCACCTTTATGAGGCGGAAATGCTTGAACACATCGTGGTCGACATCCGGAAGGTAAACTCGAGCCGCACAATCAGGACTGGCCGTGCCAGTATCAGGAGGGGGAGTGGACTGGGCCGGGTTAACAACTGCAGAAGCCATGCTAAAAATCTCTGTGAAGTAAACAGGAGGATGAATTGACGAGATAAAACAATACCTGCTTGTTAAGTAGCGTGGGATGGATTGGTGAAGAGAAGTTGGATTGGAGGGAGTTTGTAGATCGAGAGCGGTACAAATTGGTGGAACTCCAATGTGAAATGTCAAGGACATCGCGACTCCAAACATTGGAGCCACGTAACCCAACTCACAGTCGCGGCGCCGCAATTTGAAAGCACGGAAACCAACTCACCTACACACATTGAAGCAAAGTCCAGGCCAGGGTAGATCTCGAGCGTGCATTTCGAGCACGGCATCTTCTTCGTCGTGAGAAGACGAAACTTTTTAGATGTACTAAAAAAAATTCGATTTTGGGCTGCCCCAAAAAAAAACCCCGAGCGTATTGCGTATTCGTTAGCGTATAGCGTTTTGCGTGTATACGCAAGCGGATAAACGCTATACGCTTCAAGGCAAAAGCGTATATACCCACTTAGGCCAGCACTGCCAGAAGGCAGGCCAGTCCAGCCCGATGTGTGCGTACGTACGCCCTCGGAGGGGAGGGAGGCATGGGGGGAGAGAGAGGAAGGGGAGGACAGTTGAGAGTCAGCACAAGAGGCCTGCAGCCAGCCAGCGCCGACTGCCAGCTGTGCATCTACACACTGGGAGGGCAGGGGGGCTTGGGGGAAGATGACGGGGAGGAGACTTGAATGTTGGCTCAAGAGGCCTGCTGCCAGCACTGCTAGCACTGCCACCACTGCCACCACTGCCAGCAGGCAGTTTAGCCCGATGAGCCCAACAGCCCAGTGGTCACTGGTGTATGTCAGCACAGCACTGGCATGTACCAAACCCCAGGCGCAGCTTACAGAGCAGAGCAGAGCAGAGCAGAGCAGATCAGCGCAGAAGCCACCCAGAACCCACCGGTTGTTGCAGTAGTCGGTCTCAAGAAACGCCATGAGCGTGGGCAGACGCGTCTCAACTCATGGACTCAGGCGCAGCTTACAGAGCAGAGCAGAGGAGAGCAGAACCCACCGGTTGTTGCAGTAATCGGTCTCAAGAAGAAACGCCATGAGCGTGGGCAGGCCTCGACATGCAAGCAGTGCTCTCACCGCGTCCGGACTGGCAAAGAGAGAATGCATGGTGGAGGGGAGAGAGACGGCGCAGGAGAAGAAATGTATTGGGGACGGGCGAGAGACAGTGAAGGGGAGGAAATATTTAGGGCCCAGGAGAGACACGGTGCTAGGGAGAGAATACATGGGCGAGGGAAGAGAGACGGTGCAGCGAGGAGAATACATGGGAGAAGGGATGGGAGCAGAGAGATGAAGGGATTGGGAGAGAGGGCGGAGAAGGAGGAAAGGAGTGGGTGGGGGACTGTGGGGTAGCAGTGAAGCAGAGAATAAGTGGGGAGGGACGGATAGGTAAAGGTGCAGCAGTGGAGAACGAGAGGAAAGGGCGGAAAGAGGAACGGGATAAGAGGGGGGTGAGAGACAAAGACAGGAGTTAAGGGCGCACACACAAGCAACTCAGCAGACACAGGAGGTGCAGCGGGCACAGGCGGTGTAGCGGGCACAGGTGGTCGGCTCGGCGAGTGACTGACACGACACGCACCTGGAGTGGCAGAGGTGGCGCAGCACAAGTACCTGGAGTGGCAGAGGTGGCGCAGCACAAGTACCTGGAGTGGCAGAGGTGGCGCAGCACACAGCCTGCCTGATGGCGCATGTCTGGCGAGCAGCGACCGGGCGAGGAGAAGTTCAGCAGCGTGGGCACCTGATAGTGTGGGAAGGGGAGAGAGAGAGGGGGGGAAAGCGAAAGCGAAGCGAGAAAAAGGGAAGAAAAGGGCGCAGAGAGAGAGAGAAGGGAGGGGAGACAGGGAGAGGTGAAGTCAGTACAGGGAAGTGGGGGAGTGGTTGGGGGGGACGAGGGAAGTAAGTGGGCGACATCTCCTTATGCAAAGGGAATCACACCACCACAAGTGTGCGTACAAACATCGCAGTCCGACCGACCGACACACGTTTACCTTTGAAAATCCTAAAAACTGACGCAGGTACATTTCTGTGTGCAAAGAGAGGCTCACGTGACATGAGCATGTGTGAGAGTAGCAGCCCGAGAGAGGTTCGGTTCGGTTACTCACGAGTCCGGCATTGCAGAGAAGGCTTTGGATGGCAGGGCTGTCGGTGATGAGCTGCTGCAGCAGTCCCAGCACTGACAGTACTATCTGCAGTGAGGGAGGGAGGGAGGGACGGGCCAGCATCTTGTGAAAGTCATTATGGGAGCACGAGACGCCTTAAAGGGCTGTCGGTGATGAGCTGCTGCAGCAGTCCCAGCACTGACAGCACTATCTGCAGTGAGGAAAGGGCGGGCCACGACAGCATGTCGACCGACCATGATTCTTGAGTCGACTAAATAATCGGCCGAGTTTCCAGAAGAGAAAAAGGAGAAGCCGCCTAACTGCTCACTCATTTGGCCGCACCCACCCTGCTTACTCACATGCCCACACAACTCCCTCACATGCCCGAAACCACCCACTCACCCGGGGGCTGTCAGCATCGAAGACATCGAGCAGCGGCAGCACAGCATGAGTCGCCACAAGCTCCCCTTTGACCTCGGGGTACTCCCCCACCAGCCCTGCCAGCCTGCTGCCTCACATGCCCCCCCCACCCACCCACCCACCCACCCACCCACCCACTCCACTCCACTCACCCGGGGGCTGTCAGCATCGAACACATCGAGCAGCGGCAGCACGGCATGGGAGGCCACAAGCTCCCCTTTGACCTCGGGGTACTTCCCCACCAGCCCTGCCAGCCTGCTGCCTTTTGAGACGTCTTAAACGTCAACCACTCACCCGGGGGCTGTCAGCATCGAACACATCGAGCAGCGGCAGCAAGGCATGGGAGGCCACAAGCTCCCCTTTGACCTCGGGGTACTCCCCCACCAGCCCTGCCAGCCTGCTGCTCGCCGCTTCTATCGCCTCCTCGCCCTGCGACGGCTTCAGCTGGCTCAGCAGCCCCGCTGCCTCTGATACCTGGCAGGGGCAGCAGGGGGAAAAGGGACAGAGAATTTTCAACGCCTGCAACTAGCATGGCTTCAGCTGGCTCAGCAGCCCCGCTGCCTCTGATACCTGGCAACAGGGGGAAGTAAAGGGGACAGAGAAGGAGAAAGGAGGGAAAATCCTTAAGCAACGCTCACAACCGGAGTAGCTTCAGCTGGCTCAGCAGCCCCGCTGCCTCTGACACCTGGCAATGGGGGGAAGGAGAAGGGGAAAGGAGGGAGAACGGAGAACTCTTAAGCAACGCCCTTCCAGCAGGAGTGGCTTCACTTCACGCTGGCTCAACTCAACAGCCTCGCTGCCTCTGATCTGATGCCTGGCGAGATATGAGGGGAGATGGCATCACATCACAGCAGGCAGCATACCTTCTGGTTGAGCAACTCTGGCCGCAGGCTCGATTTGCGCTCCGCCCCTCCACCTGCTGCCCCTCCTCCACCCACTGCCCCTCCATAGACCACAGAATCAAACTCCCCAACCACCCCAACTCCACCAACAACACCCACAGCCCCACCCTCCTCCTCTCCCCTCTCCGCACCGCTCCCAACCGCATCCAGCCCCTCAACCCCCGCGAACGGGTCGCTCCCCTCGCGCTCTGCCTTCACAGCCACGCGGTGCATCCCTCTCACAAGCCTCTCCCTCAGCACTCCCGCCAGGCTCCTGCTCCCGCCCGCCACCTGGGGGGAACCCGCCAGGGGCGAGAACATGGCTGTGAGGGAGGATAGAGATCGCTCCTCCTCTGTCTCGATGAATGTGGAGAGGGGGCGTGGGATGGGCTGTGGGGGCGTGCGCGGCGCGAGACGGCTGCTGCTGCTTGGATCCATGTTGCCAATGTTGCCGCTGTTGCCGTTGTTGTCGTTGTTGTCGTTGTTGCTGTCGTCGTCCTGCTGTGCCTGCTGCTGTTGCTGTGAGCCTCGCTTCTTTCCTGCTCCCTTTGCTGACTTGCCCGTAGGGGCTGACAGCGGCCCGCTGCGCCGCTGCTCCTTCTTCTTCCCCGCCCCCTTCTTCCCCGCTCCTCCTCCCTCCGCCCCGGCTCCCCCCATCCGATCCGTCCCGTCCCCGTCTTGCGATCTCCGCCTCGCCTTCCTCCCAGCAGGCGTGCCGTTTCTCTCCTCATCCTGATCCGCCCCGCCCTCCTCCCCTGAAGACCCAACCAGAAAGTTCTCCCCACCAGACCTCCCCCCACTCGCCCTCCCATGTGCTCCCTCCGGTGACTGCTGCTGCGAGCGCGACACCTTCTGAGGCGCCTCAAAACTCAACCTCCCATGCGCTCCCTCCGGAGACTGTTGCTGGGAGCGCGACCCCCGGTGGGACCGCGGGGGCGACGGCAGACTCGCACTCATCGATCGTCCGCTGCTCGCCCCACTCCCACCACCACCGCCACCAACACCACCCAGACCTGCTCCACCAGTGCTGCTCGACTGCCCCAGCTTCGGCTGCTGCCGAGCCTCTCCCGGACCTATCTCTCCACTGCTCTCCTCCTCCTCCTCTCTCTCCCGCCCTGCTCCCCGTCTCCCCCCCTTCACTCTCCCCAGCCCGTCTTCCTCGTCTGAAACATCCCACACGCCGCCTTCCCCCTGCATGCTGATAAATTCCCTGCTGCCCTCCTCGTCCATACCCTGCCCGCTCTTCCACCTCTGCTTCCTCGCCCCGTCCTTGCCGCCCCCTCCCCCCGCCCCACCCTCCCCCTGCCCCTCGCTGTCTCTCGCATTCAGCTCCTTGTCACTCTTGGACCTAATAATCTTACGCCGCCCGCTGCCACTGAGCGGAATGCCGCTGCTGCTGATCCCACTGCCCCCACTCCCACCAGCACCAGCACCAGCACCACCACCACCACTACCAGCATCCTCTGCGGTCCCGGGGCGATCAGAGGAGGCACCAGAGTCGATGCTCCCGCCCATGGAGTGCCGCTGCGCCCGTGACTTGCGTGCTGCCTTGGCTGCCTCTCTCAGGTCCTTCACCGCGTCCTGGTGGTGTGGATGGGTGGGGTGGGGCGGTGTGAGGTGGGGTGGGGGAGCAAGAGACTGGTTAAAGCATTTCAAGTCTTCTCACGAAGAGTTGCGCGCCGCCTTGACTGCCTCCCTCGAATTCTTTACCGCGTCCTGTCCTGGTGGGTAGGTTCGGGAACATGTGATGTGGGAACGCGGATTGGGATCAGGAAGGGTTGAAGGAGAGGAGAGAGGAGGTGGAGAGGGAGACTGACAGGCGAGGAGGACCTGTCCCCCTCTCCACCTCCTCTCCTCTCTCCTTCGACAGACGTCTTTTGAGATGTCACGAAACCTCTCCTTCAAAGCAAGTAAGAGCGACTCACCGCTTGCAGGTGGATCTTGCGGTCGCGGCGTTCGCTGTCCGGAGAGGAGGCGGAGAGGGTGACAGGTGGCGAGGAGGAGGAGGAGGAGGCGTGGGAGGTGGCATGCACACGCCTGGCGGCATCGATGGAATCGTCTATGGCTGCTGCCTCGTCGCTGCCCCTGCCTGTCCCCGCTTGTGACGGCGCCTCAGGGTACCTGCGCCGGGGGGGGAGAGAAGATGGAAGTTGGTTATTGAGAGCGTGCATGCGCCTGGCGGCATCACTCGAGTCGTCTATGGCTGCTGCCTCGTCGCTGCCCCTGCCTGCACCAGCTTGCGACGGGGCCTCCGGATAGCTGGATGGGGGGGGGGAGACGGGATGGAGGCAAGGGAGAGGGTGAGAGGCGAGGAGGAGGAAGAGGCGTGGGTGGTGGCGTGCACGCGCCTGGCGGCATCAATGGAATCGTCTATGGCTGCTGCCTCGTCGCTGCTCCTCCCTGCACCCGCGGGGCCTCCGGGTACCCGCGCGGGGGGGAAGAGAAGATGGAAGTTGGTTGGATACTGAGAGCTTGCACGCGCCTGGCGGCATCAATGGAATCGTCTATGGCTACTGCCTCGTCTCTGCCCCTGCCCGCACCCGCTTGTGACGGCGCCTCCAGATAGCTGGAGGGGGGGGAATGATGGAAGGGAGTGGACAAGAGGAAGGAGGAGTGACGACAGCAGCAGGGTAGATGTTGACCAGAATGCTAGCGTATACAGATGTCAGCAGAAAGAGCAGAAGCAGCAGCAGCAGCAGCAGCAGCAGCAGCAGCAGCAGCAGCAGCAGCAGCAGCAGCAGCAGCAGCAGCAGCAGCAGCAGCAGCAGCAGCAGCAGCAGCAGCAGCAGCAGCAGCAGCAGCAGCAGCAGCAGCAGCAGAAGCAGAAGCAGCAGCAGCAGCAGCAGCAGCAGCAGCAGCAGCAGCAGCAGCAGCAGCAGCAGCAGCAGCAGAAGCAGAAGCAGCAGCAGCAGCAGCAGCAGCAGCAGCAGCAGCAGCAGCAGCAGCAGAAGCAGAAGCAGCAGCAGCAGCAGCAGCAGCAGCAGCAGCAGCAGCAGAAGCAAAAGCAGCAGCAGCAGCAGCAGCAGCAGCAGCAGCAGCAGCAGCAGCAGCAGCAGCAGCAGCAGCAGCAGCAGCAGCAGCAGCAGCAGCAGCAGCAGCAGCAGCAGCAGAAGCAGCAGCAGCAGCAGCAGCAGCAGGAGGAGGAGCAGAAGCAGCAGCAGCAGCAGGAGGAGGAGGAGGAGCACGTACAGGGGGCGGGTGGAGGAGGAGGAGGAGCCGGCGCTGACAGGGCGGGGGATGGCAGCAAGGCCGGACGACACCGCCCGCTTCGCCTGCCGAATCCACGGGTGCCGCAGGAGAGTCTTGGCGTCTGGGCGGCTCTTGGTGTCCTGTAGTGGTGGTGAGAGCAGGCAGAGGAAACAGTGGCAGGGAGGGGATATGGCGAGAGAAGGGCACGGAGAAAGAGACCCTTGCAAAAGCATCCCATCATCCCATTCCACCATCCCAGCATTGGAGAGCTGACTTTTGAGTCGACTCAAAAGTCATCTCTTTCAAGTCAACTCAAAAGGAAAGAGTGGCAGGGGGGGGTGTGGCGAGAGAAGGGCACGGAGAGAGAGCCCCTTGCAAAAGCATCCCATCATCCCACCCAACATCCCATCATTGGACAGCCCAGGAACCCTCTGTACCGCACCGCACCTTACGGAAGCAGAGGTGGAGAAAGTCTGACGTGGCAGCTGACACATTCTCTGGTATGGGCGGCATGTCGTCCTGCAAGACAAGTGGCGAGATGACACAGCAAGGAAAGTTAAAAGTATGTGACGACGCCCCTGAGGGTGAGAGGGGTTCCTTCCAGCTCAAGATTCTCCTCACTTAAGTAAGTAGCCTGTCATAAAAAAAACAATTCTCATGGGCATACGTCAGCGGAGTGCATCCAGATCCAGCCAGCTGCACTTCACTGCAGCAACCTCTTTCACAGAGACCTTATTTGAATGATGTGGAAGAGCGTCAGTCTCTGTGAAAGAGGTTGCTGCAGCAACCTCTTTCACTGGCGCAGCATCGTGAGGGGGAGGACGCGGCGCCTCGATGCTGCGGTGCGGAGAGAGCAGAGCAGGCGCGGGAGTTTAGGTCGTGTGTTAGCAGCAGAATTGCACCTGAACGATGCGGAATAGCGCGGGCATGGGCTGGAGGTCGAAGTAGGGTGGCTTGGTGGTGAGGAGCTCGATGACGGTGCAGCCAACGCTCCAGATGTCGGAGGCGGGGGAGATGCCGGACATCTCGATGACCTCGGGCGCCATCCAGTACGGCGTGCCCACCACGTTGGGGTTCTCCGCGTCCCCGTGGCACGACGCCGCCTCCTCCACTCTCATTGCCACCCCGAAATCCGCTAGCTTAACCAGGCCCTGCAGGGGTGGGGGGAAAAGGAAGTGGGGAGCGGGGAAGGGGGAGGGCGGAGGGCGGAGGGGGGGAGAGGGGAGAGGAAAGAGAAGAGGGCGTTGAGGAGGGGAGAGACAGCAGGCTAGAGACGCTCCAGATGTCGGAGGCGGGGGAGATGCCGGACATCTCGATGACCTCGGGCGCCATCCAGTAGGGCGTGCCCACCACGTTGGGGTTCTCCGCGTCCCCGTGGCACGCCGCCGCCTCTTCAACCCGCATCGCCACCCCGAAATCCGCCAGCTTCACCAGCCCCTGCGGGGTCAGGTGGGAGGGGGAGGGAGAAGGCAGCGGGAAGGGGGGGAAGGGGGCGGGGGGAGTGGGGAAAAGGGCAGGGGAAGTGGGGAAGGGGGAGGGTTGAGAAGGTGGGGCTGCGGAGAGAAACAGCAAGCTGTGCTGTCGGCTGGATGACTTTTGCGTTTACTCAAAAGTTGGGTCGAGGGGGGCGAGAGAGGATGGTGGGGTGGGTGGGGGAGGAAGAGGTGGAGCAGCAGCAGAGGTCCACTGGCAAAGGAGTGACTGACCTCCTTGGTGGTGAGAATGTTGGCGCCCTTGATGTCGCAGTGAATGATCCCCTGCTCGTGCAGGTACATCAGCCCCTCCAGCACCTGCCACGGGGGATGGGGATGAGGACGGAGTGATGAGTGGGGTCATTAGCCGTAGTTAGGGTTGAGCAAAAAAACGAACACCTGTTCGGTTCGCCTCGAACGTGTTCGAGGCGAACCGAACAGGTTTATTTTTTAGCTTAAAGTGTTCGTGACAAACGTGTTCGAGGTTCGCCCGAACACGTTCGTGTTCGGGCCGCTGCTGCAATTTGCCCCGCGTCGAACACGAATGTGTTCAAGGTTCGCCCGAACACGCCTTCACAGGCGAACACAGAACATCTGTTTTTGCTATAAGTGTTCGCCGAACCGAACAGTGTTCGGTTCGGCAAACGGCTGTGGCGAACACGAACACGTTCTGTTCGCCCCTTGCTCATCCCTAGCCGCAGTGCCACTAGCAGCCTCCCATGGGGACGACGAGAGGAATAGGAGGGGCAGTGAGTAGGAGCAACGAGGAGTAGGGAGCAGGGAGGAGTAGGGGGGAACAGGGAGGAGCGAACAAGGATGGAAAACAGGCAAGCTGACGAGGGAGTTGACACACAGGATGCATACGTGCAGTCATGACAGATAGATAGAGAGGAGTCGATCTCTTCCCCACCTGAGCAGTGTAGACAGCAACAAGGCACTCTGGAAAGGGCCCAAATCTATTGGGCTTGATGATGCCTGCCAAGGAACCGTTCTCCACAAACCTATGCGTGGACATGGGACATTGGGGATACAACGGATCGAGAGGTTGGGGACTTTTGAGACATCTCAAAAAACTATTCGGCTTGATAATGCCTGCCAAGGAGCCGTTCTCCACAAACCTATGCGTGGACATGGGGATACAATGGATCGAGAGGTTGGGGCGAGAGGTTGGGGCGAGAGGATGGGGCGAGAGGATGCGGTGAGAGGATGGGGGGAGAGGTAATGGGGTGAGAAGGGGATTTTGTTGCAGTGTGTGGCGGGAGCACGAGAGCAGATGACACAGAGCGCGCAACCTACGGGCACAGCATGCAGCAGGAAACAGTAAGAGGCGGGCGGCACAGAAGATGGATGGATGGGTGATGCGCCGAGCATAGAGCAACAGCAGGAGGCAGGCAGGCAGGCAGGCAGGCAGGCAGGCCGGCAGGCAGGCAGGCAGGCAGGCAGGCAGGCAGGCAGGCAGGCAGGCAGGCAGGCAGGCAGGCAGGCAGGCAGGCAGGCAGGCAGGCAGGCAGGCAGGCAGGCAGGCAGGCAGGCAGGCAGGCAGGCGTACTCGAGGAGGATGAAGAGGTGCGTCTTGGTCTTGATGGAACCCAGGTACTTGACTATGTTCTTGTGGTTGAACGTCTGTGGGGAGGGGGGGAGAGGGTGAAGGGGGGAGATAACAGAGCATTTGATGTTAGAGAATACTCAGACATTAACGTCTTGGTCTTGATGGAACCCAGATACTTGACTATGTTCTTGTGGTTGAACGTCTGTAGGGGGGTGTGTTTGGGGGAGGGGACGAAGGATAAGGGCGAACGAAGAACAGTTAGTACATCTGAACTCTCAAACATCAAGCTATGTGCCGGACTTCATGAGACCACATGGCATGGCATGGCACAGCATAATAGTAAAGACTGAATGTGCAGCATGTTACAGCATGAATAGCACTGTAGCACAGTACAGCACAGTACAGCACAGTACAGCACAGTACAGCACGATACAGCACGATACAGCACAGAAGAGCGGGGAACAGCCCACCTTGAGTAGATCGATTTCTTGCTGCGGAGATTGCGTTCCATGTGATGTGACAGTGGCGGACACCAGCCACCACAAACCACAGTCCCGCGAGTAAGGAGCACAGGGCCACACGTGGGAAAGGCAGGGGAAAGAAAGAAAATATAAAATCAGTATTGGTGGTAAAAAGCAGGGAGAGCAAGAGTGACACATTTAACGCAGAGCACCATCATGCACCCCTCCCAGCCCACCCCACCCCTGGCAGCCCACCATGACGGAGGCGAGGTCGTCCTGGTCGATGTTCTCGAGGGACACCTCCTTGACGGCCACACGTTCTCACACACTAGTCCACCGTCTTCGGCCCACCCTCTGTCCCAATACAGACAGTACCCCACCCACCATGACAGACGCGAGGTCGTCCTGGTCGATGTTCTCGAGGGACACCTCCTTGACGGCCACGAAGTCGCCGTTCTGCAGGTCCAGCGCCTTGAACACGCGCCCGTTCGCGCCCTTGCCCAGCTCCTCCCCCAGCAGCTGCTCGCACACGCACGCACGCACACACACATGCAGGCACACACCCACACACCCGCATGAACATGCACACGCACACGGACATGTGCGCGAACACCGCATGTGAAAAGGACGGCAATTTTTATCACGATAAGTGAAAACAAAAAAAGTCGGCGAAAATAGTGGCGAACACGCAAATGAATTGAATACTTGTCCTGCAGTGCCAGGCAGATGTATCCCTTCAACAAGAGAGAAAAAAACTATAACTTTGCGAGCGAAAGTGGATAAACTAGGAGCAGATTGCGCCACTCACGTATTTTTTGTTCAAGATTCTTGTACGCGGAGCCCGCATTGGCGACGGTTGGCGAGACATCTTGCTTAATTAAGCGCGAAGCGGGATACGACGCGAAGTGGGATAGAGCGTAGGTCCTTAAAAGTCCAAGTTTTCGGTCAACGCAGACAACTAGCTCGACTATTGTTTGTGACGTGAAGGAATCCCGAAAACTTTCAATCAGTCGCGGTCAGTCGCTTCAGTCGCAATCAGTCGCACGGAGCAGCCCAAATCAATGCTAACAAGTGACCGATACCACTCTCTTCATGCACGCAGCACCCTAATTCGCTGATCCTCAGGTAGCTCCTCCACTGCATTTGGCTGCTAACCGTGTCACAGAATAACCATTACAGATAAAGCTCAACCACTTAGCCAGAGTAGGCCCTGATGGCAAATAAACAAGTCGACAAATTTCCGGAGTGCCAAGGAACTGACTTGTCTCTGAGTCAACTAAAAGTCTACTTAGGTCTTAGGAATGCCGCCATGGTGGTCGTCCATTCTAACCTAAAGCTCGAGCTCGCGGATGCTGCCTCGGCATTGTAAAATTCGTCGCGAGCCATATCATAAAAAACTTTTAACCACAAGCATCCCTTTCACGGCTCAAGGCATCAACAGCATCGCGACGAACATCGCTTCTACGGCAACATGAACCAGCAGCACTGCATAACCCAACCCCGACCTGTTCGCTCAGCGCATTTCACCCCTGCCTCGACTTAGGTTGGAGGACGGTACCGTTGCGAGCAACTCGCGAAGCAAGAGCGGCAGCAGCGAGGAGCTATGGCGAACGGGTAGCAGGGCCTGAAAGAAGTAGGCAGTAGTAAATAGGTGGGAGAAACGACAGATAAAAGGAGGCGAACAGGAGCATTTGCTTGCTTTACTTGCGCTTGCGCGGATGCGTGACGGGCATGCGGTGTGCGAACATGCAGTTGCGCTGCGACGAGATGCGAACAGATACCAGATGCGGGCGACTTGTTTCAGGTGTCCGTGCGACTCATTTCTGTCAGCCACCTTGGTTTTATCCGCCTGAGGACGACAAAATCGAAGCGACAGCTTTCAATGAAGGGAAAACTCGATGGAAGCTGAAAAACGTAGTTACACCTTACTCCTATATGCATTGACAGGACAAGTTCACGCTTTGTACCATGCCCTTGTTCTTCCTTGGACGAACAGTGAAAGTTAATATAATTCTACCATTGCACAACACTGGAGGCAGACCAGCGCCAGCAGCAACAAGACCCATCATTTGATAGCATGTGATACATGGTGGAAGACCTTGCTAAGACACAGGGAGGCTGAGCGGCCCTAGAAAGCATCACGGCTGTCAAAATGGAGGTGAAGACTGGGATCTGAGGAGCCATGGTATTTGTTGCTCAGTCAAACAAGCTGAAGCCCATGTCGTCATCGCTCTCCTCCTTCTCCTCCTGTTGCATTCAAAAGGCGTTCAGGGAAGGTGGGTGTGGCAGAGAGAGATCATAATAAGCGAATATGAAACATCAGTCCAACAACATCTTGAGGCCAACACAACAAAACACAATTTTCCGAGGGTACTAAAACGCGAATAACCAGAATCACAAAGCTCACCTCCTTCTTCTCCTCCTTCTTCTCCTCAGCTGCTGGTGCGGCAGCACCGCCCGCAGCAGCAGGAGCGGCAACGGCACCGCCGCCACCTGGATAGGAGGGAGAACAGGCGAGGAAAAGAACGACGAGTAAACGAGTAGACCAGCTGACGACAGGGTAACGAGACAGTGAATTCAACAATCCCAGCTTTCTCTCCCCAGCTGAACGAACGTCATAAGCGAATGCGTTAGGTTTACTGACAAGCCTTCGCCAATGCTCCTCCTACCAGCATGTTCCATACAGCCTCCAGAAGCTATCCAAAACATCTCAGTGCGGCAGAAGATGCTTCTGAGCTGTACGGTTCTAAGGTCTCTTGAGGAGAGGGGGCTTTAAAGTGCAATTGATTGTGAGCCATACGACTGCAGATTCACCGCCGTCAGCAACTACAGATAATGACGCACCATCCCACGGTCTACCCAAATTGCAAGCTACGCACCGCCTGATAAGATCGCACCGCATGTAACCAGACTGCCCCGTACCGCAACTAACCAGACTGCACCGTACCTGATCCAATGTTTGAGACGAGGTCCTCCACGCTGCGCTTCTCGAGCAGCTTGGCGAAGAGAGTGGGCCAGTATGCCTCCACGTTCACGTTCGCGGCCTTCACCAGCGTCGCGATCTTGTCGGACTGCCATGTGAAAAAACGGGATCGGCATTTCACTAACGACATGGACAGAGGGCTAGTCAAACATAAATCCCCCCATGAATGGACCAAACCCCTCGGTCCAATCTCTCAAGCCCTGACTACTACCAGACTCGCGCTTGACTTAGTGAGCACACATCGTTTCGTCAGACCGAAGAGCTAAGAATCCAGCAGATGCTGAAGACCCTAACGACTATCATTAGAGTTAACCTAATGAGACAGACCTGTCCCGCCGATTACTGCAGCGTTCGTCCACGATCTTTAATGCGTGAGGTTTCTACAATACTCGTAGTGACTGATTGTACGCATCGCCGAACTAAGCAACCGTCAGAAGTAGCAAAGTTAACAACATTGGCAATTCCACAAGCTGCAAACACAACATGACACCCTCCTGATCAACTTCGCTTTTTTACACAGTTGCGTTCCTCGCCTGTGACCTACGAAAATGCACGCGTGAACAAATTCTACTTGGAGATCGTTCCAAAGCGTCGAATGCGGGGAACCTGGTGAAAGGGCAGCATCGGCACGAAAGTATTCGTGCGGCAAAAATCAGAAGTGCTCACCGTGATGGGAATGCCATCATCATGGAGGATAAGGGCAGCGTATGTGCAGGCGAGCTCGCTGGCCATGGCTGCGGATTAGGATACTAAGGCACGCGAGATTAGGGCTAGTTGGTCGCGGGAAAGAAGGCGAGCGAAAAGAGGGAGGGAGAGATGGCAGGTCTGGGAAAAAGAGGGAAGGAAGAGGGGGAATGGGAGGAAGGGGAGGGCAAACAGTATTGTCGCAAATGTTGATTATTATTCGGTAGCTACACTGCCTAAAGAAATCCATATTATTAACGGAGTGGTAAGCCACCATTACATACTCGCTGTTGAGAAGTTTGATGGAACTGACAGTACGGCGGTCGAAGTCGAATTCCGTTTTTACCGTTTTATGTGTCATATATTGCGAGCATCTTTTGCCATGTCAGCAGCATGCGACAGCCCCCGCCAAAAAGGGTATCGGAGCCTTACACGTGGATTCGTTTCAGGCTGTTTACAGCCCACATTCCAGGAAGAGACTCTCCACAACAAGAATGTTTTGGCGGCGCGTTCCACCAGACCCCGAGCTTCTGCGGGGCAGCCAGCTGCCCGAACCCACTCGGCAGGCCCGAAACCACCACAAGTCAACCTCCAGGATGCACGCTATTGGTGGATCCATCACACGGATTTGGTGAAAACAACTCCCGATGCACCGCTTGACCAGCTCCAGCGAGTTTGTTTGACCCGCATTTCTCACAAACCAACCACCCCCTCGCTCACCCACACCATACGCAGGCGAAGCTTTCTCGCTCTCTCTTGGAAAAAAAACCACCAGCAAGCAGCATATTTGGTGTATACAACCTCAGCAAACTACCAAGTCTTTCCCTTTCTCCGATCTCCCTATCTTGGATCTTTGATCTCTGATCCATACCATCTGTGAGTTGGAGTCGCTTCGGCCAGCGCAACTGATCCCTGCCTTAAAATTCGTATAATCATCTGAGAGCTGCTTCGTTACGCTTGTCTATAAGCGAGATCACATCGTGTGTTTCAAGGGAGAGAACTCAGCATGGCGCCGACTGACGCCAAGAAGGAGAGGGCTGCGGCGAAAAAAGCCGCTGCGGCCGCGAAGAAAGCGGCCAAGAGCGTCAGTGCGAGCAACTCGGAGAAGGATCTCAAGTCCCTCGACGATCACGACAGAAGTTGCACCGGAGTTCTCGCCTCGCACGCTCTCTCAAGAGATATACATGTGAGTGGCAACCAGTCACTTCCTTTCCTTGGTTGGTTTGTTTGTTTTATCCGTCTTTTACCGATAAGCGTGCGTACGCACGTACTCGTCGTTGTCTCTCCCTCGTAACCTGCCTGTACAGGTCGTCGGATTCTCGCTCAACTTCCACGGGCACGAGCTTGTCGCAGACACAACTCTCGAGCTCAATTATGGAAGGTAAGCCGCCCGACAAATTCATCATCATTGTCTCGCCCTCGTTCATCCACATCCCCATCACTCGTCAAATTCGACACATCCCCTTCGTAGTTCACCAAACAGTCACTTTTTGTCAACTTCCCTCTTCTTTTACATGGCTAATTCTCTTGCCTCACCTTGCACGGCTTTTCCGGCTTTTCCTCCCCGGCGCGCAGGCGGTATGGTCTGCTGGGGCTGAACGGGTGCGGCAAGTCGACGCTGCTGAAGGCGATCGGGAACCGCGAGGTGCCGGTGCAGGACCACATGGACATCTACTTCCTGTCGCACGAGATCGAGGCCACCGACATGTCCGCGCTGCAGGCCGTCATCTGCGTCGACGCGGAGCGCTTGAAGCTTGAGAAGGAGGCGGAAGAGCTTGCAGAAGTGGTACGTGTGGTTAAAAAAGGGGAGGGGAATGAGCTGGTTGAGCTGGTTATTTTGCAACTCGCGAGGCCGTCATCTGCGTCGACGCGGAGCGCCTCAAGCTCGAGAAGGAGGCGGAGGAGCTCGCGGAAGTTGTAAGTGTGGGTAGAAAAAGGGGAGGTGAATGAGCTGGCGGATTGGGTTACCTGGTAACTTGCGAGGCCATCATCTGCGTCGGGAGCGTTTGAAGCTCGAGAAGGAGGCGGAGGAGCTCGCAGAAGTTGTACGTGGTTGTGACAGGGAAGTGGGTGGTGGGTTCGGTTACGTGGTAACCCGCTGAAGTCGGGCGTCGTTGAAGATCGGTTCAAGCATGAGAAGGCGGGCGGGGTTTGTGCATGCGTAACTTCTGCCCGAAATCGAGGGGTTTCAAGCTCCTGACTCACCTTCCCGTTCTTCCTCCCCTCATTTTCTTCCCTATTTCAGGAGGGCGCAGCGGATCAGCTGGAGCGCATCTACGAGCGGCTGGACGCCATGGACTCGGCGACGGCGGAGGTGCGCGCGGCGCAGATCCTGCACGGGCTGGGCTTCACGAAGCAGATGCAGCAGAAGAGGACGCGCGACTTCTCCGGCGGTTGGCGCATGCGCATCGCGCTCGCGCGCGCCCTGTTCATGCAACCCACCGTGCTGCTGCTGGACGAACCCACCAACCATCTAGGTGCGTACGGCGGGTTGTCGAACCTGGTAGGTACTTACAGCGGGGTGACTTTTGAGTCGGCTCAAAAGTCAACGCTCGCGCGCTGTTCGTGCAGCCCACCGTGCTGCTGCTGGACGAACCCACCAACCATCTAGGTGCGTACGGCGAGCTGCTGAACCAGGTAGGTACGTACGGCGGGTCAACGATCCGACTAGCTACGTACGACAGGAAGACGAATCGTGTAGGTGTGGAAACCATGCCAAGTAGTGTAAGGCTGCGGACTGGCGAAGCAATACGGAAGCCGTGGCGGTTGTTTGATACAGAATGCCGGCGAACCATCTGGGTGTGGAAAACATGTCAACCGTTTCAACTCGAGCGTGTCAACAATATAGTTTCGAGCTACAGAGAGAGTACTGAGGAAGGACGCCCGGGAAGTATACTGGTAGCTGTGCCGATTAATCTCACTAGTCCTCGAGAGCACAATTTTCTACGTGAGCCGCACGTGCGGTCGCGCGTAAGCATTCTTTTTCCCCCCCAAACCCTCCCCCTCAACCCCTCACCGGCTCGCTTTGTTTCGGCCTTGCTCATCTCACTTCTTGATACTCATCCTACTTCGCCTTCGCTCGTGTGGCTGCGTGCGTGTGACTGAAGGACACGCTGAAGAACCACAACCGCACACGGGGAACTACGGGAGTGCTGACGGAGTGGTCGTCTCACTCACCCATCCCCCGCGCCCCTCCTTTTCCGTGTGCCACCCCCATTCTCCACGCGCAGATCTGGAGGCGTGCGTGTGGCTGGAAGATACACTGAAGACCTTCGACCGCATCCTGGTGGTGGTGTCGCACTCGCAGTACTTTCTCGTCTGACTCACCCGTTGCCCCTCCCTTCTCTTCCTGCTCCCCTCTCCCTGCCCCTCCCCGCCTCGTGCTCCCTAAACGCAGATCTGGAAGCCTGCGTGTGGCTGGAGGACACGCTCAAGGACTTCGACCGCATTCTGGTGGTGGTGTCGCACTCGCAGGACTTTCTGAACGGCGTGTGCACCAACATCATCCACATGCAGAACAAGAAGCTCAAGTTCTACACCGGCAACTACGACTCGTACGTGCAGACGCGCAAGGAGCTGGAGGAGAATCAGATGAAGCAGTGGAAGTGGGAGCAGGAGCAGATCTCCAACATGAAGGAGTATATCGCTAGGTTCGGGCACGGTTCGGCGAAGCTGGCTCGGCAGGCGCAGAGCAAGGAGAAGACTCTAGCGAAGATGGAACGTGGGGGTTTGACGGAGAAGGTGGCGAGGGATAACGTGCTGACGTTTAGGTTTACGGACGTGGGGAAGTTGCCGCCGCCTGTGCTGCAGTTTGCGGAAGTTTCGTTTGCGTACGACCCGGAGCATGTGATTTACGAGAAGGTGGACTTCGGCGTGGATCTGGACTCGCGGATTGCGCTGGTGGGGCCGAACGGGGCGGGCAAGTCGACGCTGCTGAAGCTGATGACGGGCGAGCTGCAGTGCACGGAGGGCGCCGTGAAGCGCCACAACCACCTGCGGATCGGGCAGTACCACCAGGTGGGTGTGCGGATGAGTGTGGATGGGTGTGCGTGGGTGTGGGAGTGTGTGGTTTGGCTCTGTGTGTGCACACACTGCAGTGCACGGAGGGCGCCGTGAAGCGCCACAACCACCTGCGCATCGGGCAGTACCACCAGGTGGGTGGGCATGGGTGTGGATGGGTGTGCGTCGGTGTACGTGGGTGTGGGTGTGTGGTTTGGGTCTGTGTGTGCACACACTGCAGTGCACGAAGGGCGCGGTGAAGCGCCACAACCACCTGCGGATTGGACAGTACCACCAGGTGGGCGGGCAGGCGTGGATGGATGTGGTTGGGTGTGGATGGGTATGGATGGGTTTGGGTGCGTGGGTGTGATGTGTGCGGATGTGGGTGTGGGTTTGGGTGGGTGTTTTGAAACACAGTTTACATCCTCCACTCAGGCAATATCGGTCTTGACAATGAAATTTCGAAATGGCAGCGCCAGGGCCAGCACTGTGAAGTACGCTCCCCACTTCACACCTACACACACCCACACAATACCACACGCACGCACTTCCACACACTCGCACTTCCACACACTCGCACTTCCACACACTCGCACTTCCACACACACGCACTTCCACACACACCCAGAGAATCCCGCACACGCATAGTCACGCCGACGCGCACACACACACATTGACACCAACCCATACACTCACACTTCCACACACCCCAACACATATCCGCACACACACTCACACATCCTCACATGCACACACACCCCCACATTCACACACCTACACACATGCGCACACTCCAGCCATGTATTTCAGCATGTCCATAACCACCCCCGCTTCATGGCCCCTCCCCCTTCTGCTCCGCCTGCTGCACTGCACCTGCACTTGTAACGTCACTCGCAAGGGTTACTAGAGCATGCCTCGCGCTAATTTCTCCTCCTCCTTTCGTCCCTCCCCTGCTACTTGCTCCTCACAGCACTTGGGCGAGAAACTAGACCTGGAGAAAAGCGCCCTCGCATGGATGATGTCCGAATACCCTGGATTGGAGGAGGAAA